GAGAGGCTTTTATGGTCGCCCATCAATGCAAATGTCGCTGTGTATAGAAGGATCATAAACATGGTGGTACAGACATACCAGTTCGGCCTGATTCGGCTCGAAGTCGTTCATCTTCGGATGCGGCGCCGCGCGCGATGTTACAAAAAGTGCCGTGCACACCGCCAGGCGAAATGGGGTCTTGCGCACCCAACGCGCACGACCGCCCACACCGCAATGACGTCATTTTTGCCGCGCGCACTTCGCGCTCTTGCGGACGCGTCGAGTATAAACAAGGCATAACAGGCGCACACATCTTTGTGGGCTCCCTCTCTGAAACACACACACACACACAGACACTCACTCTCTCTATGTCACACACACACAACACACTCACTCTCACTCTCTGTTTATCTCTCTCTCTCACACACACACACACATGTTCGTGCACACACTTTGGTTGGGTATTTATCATCTAAGATAAATCACTTATGTAAAAATAATTAATTACATTGGTTATCTATATACCGGAAACTGTAAACAAGTTCAATAGAGATTATCTATATCAATATCTATAGATGAACCAAATGATTAATTGATTAACCATTAAGATCAGTTGGATTAAATAATAGACAAATGTATTAAACTGAACGAGAAGAGATGCAAATCATAAGTTTGATATAATGGCATTATAAAAGTTAGCTACTGAATGACACATTAATATCAATGAAACAAGTAATTTTGTGTTGTGAGAAAAGGATACTTTGTAAATTTGTGTTTCGTACAATTGAAAAAGTGCACTTTTGATGATATTAGTACAAGAGTTTTGAAAATACTTGTGGAAATAGTACAAAATTGAATAAAAAAAACTAATAATACTTAAAATGTTAACAAATTGTAGCTTACCTTAAGAAGTGTGTGGTCGGTATGGTCATCAAGACTGCATTTATGTGAATAAAAATACAGTAAAACAGTGAAATATGACTCCAGTGTAAATCAGCTGTTTTCTATGTGAATATACAGTAAAGTGTAATTTATTCCTGTGATCAAAGCTGAATGTTCAGCATCATTACTCCAGTCTTCAGTGTCACATGACCCTTCAGAAATCACTCTAATATGAGGATCTGATGCTCAAGAAACATTTATGATTATTATCAGTGTTGAAAACAGTTGTTAAACTGATACATTTTATTTAATAATTCAATTAATTTTATATAACATTCGGAAATCAAGATACTTTTCCTGGAGAATGAGAGTCAAATGAGTGTAATGTAATGAGTCTATATAATATATTAGTTTCACCTTTTAAGTTGAATTACTGAAATAAATGAACTTTTGCACCATATTCTAATTTTCGAGTTTCAACAATATACAGTATATATCATCAAAATGAGAGTTTAAGCTTAAAACAGGAGCATGCTCTCTGCTAGTGCGCTCAGAACACAATACAAGTGTATTTTTCTGATCCTACTGGTGGAAATTTGTTCTTGCTTTTGAGACAAAACTCTTATTTTGATCAATTTTTCAGAAAAGATTTTATTTTGCTTCTCCAGCAATAAAAAAAATGAAAACGTCATTTCTGAATGTCCTCTGAACGTCCGAAACATCCAGTTTTTAAACCGTTTTAAAAATGTTTTAAAACCGTTTTTATTATTTATGTGAACGTTCAGGAACTCTTCAAACATTGGAACGCTTTTGAATGTTCTAATACAAGTCAAGAAGTAACATTTAAAAAAAACGCTAGACGAACGTCCAACTAAAACGTCAAAACGTTTCAGAATTTTTTTTTTTTATAATGTTTGGTTCAACTATTTTAAGGTGACATAGTTTCTTACTCAAATGTGGTCCTCAAGATAAGAGAAAATTAGGCAGAAGTAATGAAAGTATATATTAAAATAAAGTCATATTAGAATGTTTCTTATCATTTTAAACGATCAGAATACATCTATGACAAAGGTTTCTAAAAATATGGCTTCTTATAAAAAAAAGTGTTCCTGTGGCTCAATTTACCCCAGGCTAGGGGTAAGTTGATCCGAGTTGCTCAATCTGGTTCTGAATCTAAATCAAACCCAGGTGAAATTGTAAAGATAATTTGCCTCTTTTAAAAACTAATTTAATGATCAAATTTCCTGTTACAAGTCATATGTATTTTCTTAAACCAACCAAATGAAGTTGACATTTCAATATCTTTAATTGTTTGCATTTCTGAAACAACATGTTTAACAGCAAAGTTATAACCTTACTAAAAAAACAGACTAAACTGAGTTTGGTGAGTAAAAAAACGCTGGCTCAATTTACCCCACAGCATTTGGCTCACTTTGCCCCACAGCTGCCATTTTGGACAAAACTAGCGTAAAAGTAAATACTACAGAAAAAAACTATGTAATTTACGTGAAAAAGTTAGTTCAGACAAGAATTAAGTAAATTCTTAGTACTCAATTCAAGCATGTGGAAATGAAAGCGTAAATTTCAACGTTATAAACTTAAATAAAATTACTTAACTTTTCTGATACTGGTGTTCCCATCATGCACTGGGCCTTGAATAATTAATGAGGCTGATTTGTCACTGTTTTCCAGCTGTGTTTACACTGCTTCATCATTGCTTTGGATGTCAGGATTAGTAACCGGCCATTTTGTGACATTTGAGTTCATTTTCTACTCAAAATGACACATTCAAACACAAAACCGATCCATCAAATGTTACCGTAATTGTGTATTGCTACCAAGTATTGAGGTCTCTGCGGACTCATAACATGTGACTCTTACTGTGTAGAATATCTATTATGTTTATTACTAACATGTTTCTAAATAAAGTATGTTGTTTCAAAGTGTAGTTCAATGTTATATTGTTTGAGTTAAATATATTGCAAAGGAAACTTCAGCTAGACATTACTCAACCTTTTACTAGCCAAGGTAAAATTACTTATTTAATTTTATTTAACTTAGTTAATTTCATATGTGACATTTACTTTAAAAATATTGGTGCAAAAATTTGCCAAAGAAAAATGAAGTCAATTTTACTTATTGTTTTTTTCAGTGTAGTTTACCAATTCAGACTAATAATATGTACCTAAATGATTTGCATGGTTTTGTACATTGCTATATGGATCATAAATATTTGTAGAGCTGGACATGCAGAAATTGTACTTTGGCAAGCCAGAGATAGTTTTGGGTGTCTTCCTCCCACACGTGTCAGAAATGATGGGCGGATACAAAATATATGATCACATGACAATAAAAGTGTACAATTGCCCAGATAAAGTGGGTGGCTCATCTTACCCCACGCACACCCTATGTGTTTTTCTATAAATAACATTCAGAAACTCATTCAGAAAAGGGTCAATAAATAAATACTGATACAAAAAAAAATACAAAAAAACCATAAGAAATGTATAACTTTCAACAAACGTATTAATATTGCTGGAAGAACATTATGTTGCCGGATAATGAGCCGAACCTGTATAAATGATGAACAAGATCAACTCTCTCTCTGCTCACACACACCATCCGTCACACATGATCATGTCCACTACTCAGCTGCTGATCCTCATAAAATGAAGAGAGTTATTTAATAACTTGTTCTGCCGGACTCCGTGATCTAAACATGACACGCTCCCTTACTTAGTGAAGTGATTACAACACGTTTAATGCGGTGTTAATCAGGAATGATTGACTGGAGAAGCTCTCACACACATCAGCATCTCAGCGCTTGTGTAACCGCATCAGTTTCTGGAAAACATCTCGACCTGAAGCTGAGCTGTTCAAACGCCATCAATGATTCCTGACACACACACACACACTCGTTTATAATAAACCCCGGGGGACTTCAGTGTGGGATGTGTGTGTGGGTTTATGATGGTGTGTATCTGTGAGATAACACACTCTTGCCCTGTAAACCCACCCTGAGTAAACCTGTCAGTCTCTCTTCACTCGTTTACACACTATAGGAATAAACCACAAGTTATTATATAACAGAGTCATTCTGGATCTCAGTCACTGATGTTAAAAGACATTAACAAGCGGCTGAGGCGATACAAATCATCTTAAAAGGTCAAATTTTATGAATATGAATACATATTTTGAACCCCAATTTCAAAATAATGATAAAATATGTCTTTTGCAAACAGATCATTTATTGTTATTTTTATTGTATTTATTGTGAGTTTATTTTCATATACCTGCAATTAACAGTGCAAAATAATTGTTTAGTATTAGTAAAATAGTAATTGTAAAATTTATTTCATATTTGGTAAAAACAATAAGGAAAAATAATGAAAAATAAAATCTATAATAAAATGAAATTTGCATAAATGTAATCCAGCAGATTCAATCATGAATTCACAAATAAAAAAATAAATAATAGAATATTACAATAGCCAATATACACTACTGTTCTAAAGTTCGGGGTCACCAAGACTACATTTATTAGATCACAAATACTGTAAAAACACTGAAATATTTTTGTTTTTTAAATCAGCTGTTTTCTATGTGAATATATAGTAAAGTGTAATTTATTCCTGTGATCAAAGCTGAATTTCAGCATCATTACTCCAGTCTTCAGTGTCACATGATCCTTCAGAAATCACTCTAATATGAGGATCTGATGCTCAAGAAACATTTATGATTATTATTATCAGTGTTGATAACAGCTCATATTTGTGTGGAAACTGATACGTTGTATTTTTTCAGGATTCTTTAGCATGTTTCATCAAGCATCAAGAACAGCATGTTTTCAAAATAGAATATTTTGTAACATTATAAATGTCACTTTTGAAAATTTTTATGTGTCCTTGGTTAATAAAAGTATGTTTTTGCAAAAAATATTTCAAAATGCAAGAATGCACAGATACTAGAATGATAACCTGTCCTTTCTAAACACACAAACCTTGATCCCACAACCTCGAGTGTGTGTGTGTGTGTGTGTGTGTGTGTGTGGGAGGGATGTCAGTGCTAAAGGTCAGCATGTCACCAGTCGCTGGCGGTATTTATTGGCATCTCCTGCCATCACTGCATCTCTTCTCTCGTCCTCATCTCTGAGAGCGCTTCACTATCGGTCCACTATCGCTTACCCTGCAGTGTGAGGATGCGTCTGAAGCTGAAGCTCCCGAACCCGGGTCTGGATGAGCGGATTCCCTCTCACGCCGAGCTGGAGAAGCTGGAGCTGGAGGAGGCTGGAGAACGCCCGCAGTGGGACAACAAGACCCAGTACATGCTGACCTGTGTGGGCTTCTGTGTGGGGCTGGGGAACGTCTGGAGGTTCCCGTACCTGTGCCAGAGCCACGGAGGAGGTGACACACACACACACACATTCATCATGCACACTGGTGCTTCTTACCTGGAAACATAGAAAACTTACACATTACAAACCTCTGGATCTGCAGGGTCTTTACACTTGCATTGAATTGCACTTAAAACTTCCATGCATTCCAGTTTTAACATAAACTATCAAACTCAATATGATGCAGATTTGTCAGTTAAACTAGTTTATTACCTATTCACATATTCAAATAATCAAAATGCATTTATTCAAATAGCTTAGAATCACCATAAATGTGTTCATATGTATTCAGTTGAAAAGTATGAATATGGTTCAAATATGACTAGCTGTGGAACAAGCAATGTTCAGCTGGAGTTAAAATGCATGAGATTGAAACTAGATTTATTAATGATAAATATATTGACTTTATGGTGTATTTAAAACACAATTCTGACCCGTTTCATCCATGCATGACTGACAAATTTTCACAAGTTTATTTGTTTATGTTAAAACTGTGTAATTCGAATGGATGGAAGTTTTATATGCAATTCAAACACACAAATCTTAGTGCACTAATGTGTCTGAAGACTCAGTTTGTTTGAATCAGTGATTTTTAGTGCGTGTATGAAGTCAGTTGTTAGTTTTTTAAAGATGGAAGTGATGTAATTCTGTGTGTTTGATTTGCATATGATGGATCCACAGAAACACCACTATAAACACGCCTCATAAAACCCTACGGCTCGTAATGGGCTGAAAGCTGCCACTTAAAGCGATTATAGTTAAACATTAATTCAACTTCAGGAGAGCGACAGATGCTTCCACTGCTAATCATCAACACGAGATTGTTTTCGCTATTAAAACTGGGTGGAAGTTTCCATTCAGAAATGCTGAACGTCTCCATGTCCATGTGTCCGATTGCTAGTTTAATATCGAGAAATAATTGCTCTTCAAGTGGCTTTTTTAGGGTAAATACAGTATATTCATCAAAATGTCTAAAAAATCATAAATACAGTCACTAGTAATGATTTCATGGTTTATTACTTTCGACCAATAGGTGGCGCAGTTATGAGATTGATGTGGTGTGGTCAGAGTGAGGTGACGATGACACATGCCAAGTTTGGTGTTAATATGCCAAAGCATTGCAGAGATACAGCCTCAGAGTCATTCTGGCATCATGCCATTAAATTTGTTGATGCGGTATACGAAAAAAGTTTCGTCTATCGGCACGAAATCTACAATATTTTGCCGGCATTGTCTGAAGATGATCTGACTTGAATTTGATGAAAATCGGACAAGCGGTCTAGGAGGAGTTTGAAAAAGAATGTTTTGAAAGAAAATTAAAATGGCGGACAGGAAGTTCAACAGAATTTGCCAAAATTGGTTTTATGTTCTTGGCAAGACCCGAGGAATCTATTAAGACAAGTATCATTACAATAGGCTAATTTAATCCAAAGTTATTTGCATTTTTGAAAATTTTGTGCCATTTTTTGTCATGGTGACAATGACACTTACCGAGTTACATAACAATACGCCAATGCGTTCGTAAATTTTTTTTTGAAAATGTCCGACAACCAAAATGGCATATGGGAAAATTTGGTCTCGTTTGACTCGGCATCCTGCACTGAGTCTAGAGAGACCAGCAACCATGACTCGGGTATCGTTTGAATTTTAACGATTCCAATTCTTCTCGATTCCTAATATGATTCCAATACGGTTAAAAAAAACTTCATTTACATTTAGTCTTATTGCAAAACATTTGAAAATCATGAACAGAAATCATCAGGCTAAAGAACACTTACACAAGGAACGTTTGCCTGTGGTTTAAAAACACCATAGAAAAACAACTAGCATAAATAATATACAGTTCAAGCATTATTAAAGACAACAGAAGAACAAATAGACACAACTGAACAAAGATAGGATTGAAATAAACAGTTTTAAGATTTTCAGGTATTACAGAAACTGTAATCAACTAACTGCAATATATATTACAAATATAGTTACACAAGTTATTCAGTCAAGAACGAGGGAATTTTCGTTTGATTAGTGTTATAGAGACGGCAGGAATATTAGGCTTCTGTCACTTTAAGAGCTGCCCTGATCCAGTATACTGACACACACACGCCTGAAAACAGCGAGTCTCGCGCTTGAATGGTTTAAAGTCACATTGAAATGCTCACAAATGAATTGATAAGAAAAAAAGTATAACAAGAAATGTTTATTTTATAACAAGTATCTGATTCCTGACCTCAAGTGTTCGATTCCAGAGATCTCAACTTTGTTGCTCAGATTTGTTTCAGGTTAGGTCTGCAATCAAAAGTTATATATGAACTCAAACATGAGCTTCTCCACGTTGATTTTATATCTCTAGTACACTCTAACTGTAGGACAGCTGTTTGTGTCAGGCTTCATTTCTCCAGAGGAGAAACATCTGAGACATCAATGAAGCGTACAGAAATCTGAGATATGAAAGCGCATCTTTCACAAAAACAACTTCATGATGATGATTCATGATGATCCAGCATGAAGTGACTGAGCAGTTTCAGCTTCACCTTCAGCTCAGGTTATCTTCATCATCATCATCATGTGGACTTTCGAAGCTTCAGGCTGATAAGAGTCAAACGCTCAGATAAAGACTCAGATGTTTAATGACATCACTTTGTTTCCAAAACATCTGCTGCAGAATGACTCAGCGAAACACTCGTTTACACTATATACTGATCTACAGTACACAATACGAAACACTCGTTTACACTATATACTAATCTACAGTAAACAATACGAAAACACTAGTTTACACTATATACTGATCTACAGTACACAATACGAAACACTCGTTTACACTATATACTGATCTACAGTACACAATACGAAAACACTCGTTTACACTATATACTAATCTACAGTACACAATACGAAACACTCATTTACACTATATACTGATCTACAGTAAACAATACGAAAACACTCGTTTACACTATATACTGATCTACAGTACACAATACGAAAACACTCGTTTACACTATATACTAATCTACAGTACACAATACGAAACACTCATTTACACTATATACTGATCTACAGTAAACAATACGAAAACACTCGTTTACACTATATACTAATCTACAGTACACAATACGAAACACTCGTTTACACTATATACTGATCTACAGTACACAATACGAAACACTCGTTTACACTATATACTGATCTACAGTACGCAATACGAAACACTCGTTTACACTATACACTATATACTGATCTACAGTACACGATACGAAACACTCGTTTACACTATATACTGATCTACAGTACACAATACGAAACACTCGTTTACACTATATACTGATCTACAGTACACAATACGAAACACTCGTTTACACTATACACTATATACTAATCTACGGTACACAATACGAAACACTCGTTTACACTATACACTATATACTGATCTACAGTACACAATACGAAACACTCGTTTACACTATACACTATATACTGATCTACAGTACACAATACCAAACACTCGTTTACACTATATACTAATCTACAGTAAACAATACGAAAACACTCGTTTACACTATATACTGATCTACAGTACACAATACGAAACACTCGTTTACACTATATACTAATCTACAGTAAACAATACGAAAACACTCATTTACACTATATACTGATCTACAGTAAACAATACGAAAACACTCGTTTACACTATATACTAATCTACAGTACACAATACGAAACACTCGTTTACACTATATACTAATCTACAGTACACAATACGAAACACTTGTTTACACTATACACTATATACTAATCTACGGTACACAATACGAAACACTCGTTTACACTATATACTGATCTACAGTACACAATACGAAACACTCGTTTACACTATATACTGATCTACAGTACACAATACGAAACACTCGTTTACACTATATACTAATCTACAGTACACAATACGAAACACTTGTTTACACTATACACTATATATTGATCTACAGTACACAATACGAAACACTCGTTTACACTATATACTGATCTACAGTACACAATACGAAACACTTGTTTACACTATATACTGATCTACAGTACACAATACGAAACACTCGTTTACACTATATACTGATCTACAGTACACAATACGAAACACTCGTTTACACTATATACTGATCTACAGTACACAATACGAAACACTCGTTTACACTATACACTATATACTGATCTACAGTACACAATACGAAACACTCGTTTACACTATATACTAATCTACAGTAAACAATACGAAAACACTCGTTTACACTATATACTGATCTACAGTACACAATACGAAACACTCGTTTACACTATATACTAATCTACAGTAAACAATACGAAAACACTCGTTTACACTATATACTAATCTACAGTACACAATACGAAACACTCGTTTACACCATATACTAATCTACAGTAAACAATACGAAAACACTCGTTTACACTATATACTAATCTACAGTACACAATACGAAATACTCGTTTACACTATATACTGATCTACAGTACACAATACGAAACACTCGTTTACACTATATACTAATCTACAGTAAACAATACGAAAACACTCGTTTACACTATATACTAATCTACAGTACACAATACGAAACATTCGTTTACACTATATACTAATCTACAGTACACAATACGAAACACTCGTTTACACTATATACTAATCTACAGTACACAATACGAAAACACTCGTTTACACTATATACTGATCTACAGTACACAATACGAAACACTCGTTTACACTATACTGATCTACAGTACACGATACGAAACACTCGTTTACACTATACTGATCTACAGTACACAATACGAAACACTCGTTTACACTATATACTGATCTACAGTACACAATACGAAACACTCGTTTACACTATATACTATAATACGAAACACTCGTTTACACAATATACTGATCTACAGTACACAATACGAAACACTCGTTTACACTATATACTAATCTACAGTACACAATACGAAACACTCGTTTACACTATATACTGATCTACAGTACACAATACGAAACACTCGTTTACACTATATACTATAATACGAAACACTCGTTTACACTATATACTGATCTACAGTACACAATACGAAACACTCGTTTACACTATATACTGATCTACAGTACACAATACGAAACACTCGTTTACACTATATACTAATCTACAGTACACAATACACAATACGAAACACTCGTTTACACTATATACTGATCTACAGTACACAATACGAAACACTCGTTTACACTATATACTGATCTACAGTACACAATACGAAACACTCGTTTACACTATACTGATCTACAGTACACGAAACGAAACACTCGTTTACACTATATACTATAATACGAAACACTCGTTTACACTATATACTGATCTACAGTACACAATACGAAACACTCGTTTACACTATATACTCATCTACAGTACACAATACGAAACACTCGTTTACACTATATACTGATCTACAGTACACAATACGAAACACTTGTTTACACTATATACTAATCTACAGTACACAATACGAAAACACTCGTTTACACTATATACTAATCTACAGTACACAATACAAAACACTCGTTTACACTATATACTAATCTACAGTACACAACACGAAACACTCGTTTACACTATATACTAATCTACAGTACACAATACACAATACAAAACACTCGTTTACACTATATACTAATCTACAGTACACAATACGAAACACTCGTTTACACTATATACTGATCTACAGTACACAATACGAAACACTCGTTTACACTATAGTGATCTACAGTACACAATACGAAACACTCGTTTACACTATATACTAATCTACAGTACACAATACGAAACACTTGTTTACACTATACACTATATATTGATCTACAGTAAACGATACGAAACACTCGTTTACACTATATACTATAATACGAAACACTCGTTTACACTATGTACTGATCTACAGTACACAATACGAAACACTCGTTTACACTATATACTAATCTACAGTACACAATACACAATACAAAACACTCGTTTACACTATATACTAATCTACAGTACACAATACGAAACACTCGTTTACACTATATACTGATCTACAGTACACAATACGAAACACTCGTTTACACTATAGTGATCTACAGTACACAATACGAAACACTGGTTTACACTATATACTAATCTACAGTACACAATACGAAACACTTGTTTACACTATACACTATATATTGATCTACAGTAAACGATACGAAACACTCGTTTACACTATATACTATAATACGAAACACTCGTTTACACTATGTACTGATCTACAGTACACAATACGAAACACTCGTTTACACTACATACCAGGGGTCTCAAACTCAACTTAACTGAGGGCCGCTGGAGGTAGAGTCGGGGTCAGGCTGGGCCGCATCAAGTATTAACAAAAAATAGTATTCAAGTATTCCAAAAAAGGAGCACAACTGATCCAATCCTCTCAATATTTATTATTAACGTTTCTTCTGAACTGTTCCTCTGAATTTGAACATACCTTTCTGTACATGATTGGTTCTTCATGAGCTGTCCTTCTGACAGTTGAAGTTCATTTTACAAACTTTCTTTGTCTATAACACATATTTGTGATTTTTATATTTGCTTATGTCCTGTTTATTTTCTTTATACAACACATTAATGATATTGAATGTTTTTTTTTTGGAAGGCACATTTTCTTTTATTATACTTAGAAAAACAATTATTGCTTTTGAAATACAAATATTTGCAGTCATGTCTGCCCGTCTTATTGAATTCTTTCTACACATGTATAGTGTCTCAAATTACTGACTGCACAAATCAAAGCAAACCTTCTCATCAACCTGTTGGACACATATTACAAGCTCAAAGTGATTATTCTCACATTGTTTTAGAGCAGGGTCTCTCTCCAACACGTCGCTCGCGAGCTGCCAGTAGCTCGTGGCCTGATTGGTGGTAGCTCGCCAAGGGGCCGTTCACATATCGCGCTCACATATTTTGCGCGCTCAAGTTCGTTATTTCAAATGTAGGCGCGCGGTAAGCGCGCTCATAATTGAAGCAACGCGCTCATTTTTTCCAGGCGCAGTATGTTTGTACTTCGCGGTTGTGTCTATGACAACTATTGACAACAAACCCACCTTAAGCTGTCACGAGACTATCTATGGTAGCCCATAAGGGATAAAAAAAAATAAAAAATGAAAACGCGGCACACGCAACGACGGGCCGCACTAACATTAAAATTTAAGGTCAAGTAGGGGGCCACGCCGCGAGTTTGAGACCCCTGCTATATACTGATCTACAGTACACAACACAAAACACTCGTTTACACTATATACTGTAGTCTCTATATAAATAATTAATTGTGTGCCATAAAATGGATAACAGGAGTTTATGCTGCTGAGAATAAATGATCTGACCGCTGGTCTTCCAGGAGCGTTCATGATCCCGTTCCTGATCCTGCTGGTCCTGGAGGGAGTCCCGCTCCTGCATCTGGAGTTTGCCATCGGACAGAGACTGAGGAAGGGCAGCGTCGGCGTCTGGAGATCCATCAACCCGTATCTCACTGGCGTCGGTGAGTGTGAAAGCAAGACACTGTTAAAGGTGCAGTGTGTAAATTTTAGCGGCATCTAGTGGCGAGGTTGCGAATTGCACCCAACAGAAGTTACGCTGGCCGACAGGAAGTGATGTCGTCACTGGAGTCGGTGAGTGTTAAAGGGGTGGTATAATTGCCTTTACACAAGATGTTAAATAAGTCTCTGATGTCCCCAGAGTGTGTGTGTGAAGTTTCAGCTCTAAATACCCCACAGATATTTTTATATACCATGTTAAATTTGTCACTTTTTGAGGGTGTCCCTTTAAATGCAAATGAGCTGCTACCGGCACAGGGGGCGGAGCTACAAGAGCTTGTGTGTGTGTTTGAACTCCGGTTTGAACATAAAAGGCTAAAAGTTTTTGAAATTTTCAAAAACTTTCAGCCTTTTATGTCCAAACCAGAGTCAGACAAAGATGGAGAGACTCAAGAAGAAGTGACATGTAGAGCAACAGGACTTTTCTGAATAGTTCGTTGATGAGTTTATGTAGCTGATGTGGAGTTATCTTCTAGTCATTGATTAGCATATTCGTGTTCCTGGGGTTTATGTAAATTTTAGGCTTAGTGATGTCACTAACCCGTGAGGAAGCTTGTGTAGTTCCTACCAGCCGTTTGTTGTAATCCTTAAAAAGCAATTTCTATAAAAGAAAACTTTGCAGATGTTGTTTATGCTGAAACTGCAACATTACACACTAACTACAGTTAGGAAAGTAAAATCATAAACAACCACCCCTTTAATGAAGACTGCAGGTCAGTGTTAAGCCGCACATGATCGAGTGTTGACGGTCGCTCTCGCCCTCAGGCATCGCCTCTATGCTGGTGTCCTTCATGGTGGGCATGTACTACAACACCATCATTGCCTGGGTCATGTGGTACTTCTTCAACTCGTTCCAGGACCCTCTCCCCTGGAGCCAGTGTCCCGTCAACGAGAACCGCACAGGTACGGGCTTAGTCACCTGACCGCACACACAACCACAGAAAACACTCAAATAAAAAGCTAAATGTTTTACATGGCAAAAAAAAATAATATATTTTTTAAAATATATCTTGCTCACTATTTTTTGTTTTGTTTTCCAGTACAAATATCTAAACATTCTTAAATCAAGATACATTTACTGATGAAGCTAAATGAGTTTTCGTTCTGAAATATTTTATTCTTAAAACAAGAACACACGCATCTGCCAGTGGAGTCAGAAAAACACATTTGCTTCAGAGGGAAACACATATTCCTCTGACACCATTGGCTGATTCGGTTTTGTTTGATAATTTTGATAAATTTTTCAAAAGATTTTTTAATATTTATTTGTTTATTATTATTATTAAACAAATGATTGTTTTGCCTTTTCCTTTTATTAGTATATGTATTTTTATTTATTATTACGTTTACTATTTTTAATTATTTTAAAAATTAAATTGTATCCCTTAAAACTCCCTTTGATCACCAAAATGACATATTTAAACGGTTTTTCCTTGAATAAAATGTCTTCATGCCTTAAAATATCTTGAATGTAACTCGACACCCTTGCCTCATTTAGTATGCGTGGTTCTATGATTATGCAAATGAGCCCCGCCTCTATGGCGTTATTGTCCTGTCCAATGTCGAGAGCGCATTATTGTAGCGCGAAAGTACATTAATATTATGCGCGAGCGTGAATCTCTCTGCTCGCGCGCGGAATATGATGTGCCGAGCGAGAATCCCTCTGCTCGCGCGCGGAATATGATATGCACAGCGCGAATCTCTCTGCTCGCGCGCGGGAACTGGGCGCGCGCTCTCAGATACACTTCTCTTGTAAGAATTCTCTCTCTGGGCTGAGTGAGCTCGCTGCCTCGCTCAGAGAATATGCCTGCACTTAAAACGTGTTCAGTGCAATCGCGAATTGCTCCTCTTCCCCAGCTAACAATTTTAGGTTATAAGAACGTTTTCATAACGTTCCCATTAAGTTATAAAAACGTTATTTCTGAATGTTCTAGGGAATTTCAAAAAGTCCAGTTTTTTAGACGTTGTATTAACGTTATTTCTTGGTTATAAGACCGTTCAATTCTCCCGTTATGTAAACGTTGTATTAATGTTATTTCCTGGTTATAATAACGTTAGAACGTTCAATTCTCCCTTTATATAAACGTTGTATTAACGTTCTTGCTTGGTTATAAGAAGTTATTCAAACGTTCAATTCTCCCATTATATAAACGTTCTCTTAATGTTTTTCTAAGATAAGGAAAAACGTTTCATTCATAACAAGGTAGCCTATATAATAGGCCTATATGAAGAACCTAAAACAAGAACTTTCAGATTTTAAAATTAAGACAAAAATAAATAAAAAAGACCCATGAATCATGTCTATAATATGTGTAATGTAGTCCACTGAAGAGTCCACTTTATTGGAATAAACTATAGGCCTACTTGGGTTCAATTCAACTCGACTTCAGTGGACTACATTACACATATTATAGACATGATTCATGGGTCTTTTTAAAAAAAAATTTGTCTTAATTTTAAAATCTGAAAGTTCTTGTTTTAGGTTCTCCATATAGGCTAGGCCTATTATATTGTTATATAAAAAACATTAAGACAGGTTTTAATCATTATTAAAACATTTCTTAATGTTTTTTTATTGAATGAAACGTTTTTCATTATCTTAGAAAAACATTAAGAGAACGTTTATATAATGGGGGAATTGAACGTTTGAATAACGTTCTTATAACCAAGCAAGAACGTTAATACATACAACGTTTATACAAAGGGAGAATTGAACGTTCTAACGTTATTAACCAGGAAATAACATTAATACAACGTTTACATAACGGGAGAATTGAACGTTCTTATAACCAAGAAATAACGTTAATAAAACGTCTAAAAAACGGGACTTTTTGAAATTCCCTAGAACATTCAGAAATAACGTTTTTATAACTTAATGGGAACGTTATGAAAACGTTCTTATAACCTAAAATTGTTAGCTGGGGAAGAGGAGCGATTCGCAATTGCACTGAACACGTTTTTAAGTGCAGGCATATTCTCTGAGCGAGGCAGCGAGCCCACTCAGCCCAGAGAGAGAATTCTTACAAGAGAAGTGTATCTGAGAGCGCGCGCCCAGTTCTCGCGCGCGAGCAGAGAGATTCACGCTCGGCATATCATATTCCGCGCGCGAGCAGAGAGATTCACGCTCGGCATATCATATTCCGCGCGCGAGCAGAGAGATTCACGCTCGGCATATCATATTCCGCGCGCGAGCAGAGAGATTCACGCTCGCGCATTATATTAATGTACTTTCGCGCTACAATAATGCGCTCTCGACATTTGCCAGGATAATAACGCCATACGCCTCCACTCACTCACTCAGCTCAGAGATCCACTGGTTGACGATCACACGTTGATCTGATTGGTTACAAGGTCGTTTGTGACGTCAGAAACACCAGCGATTTCAAACCGTGTTTTTGAGACTGTCTTTGGTTCACTGCAGTTTTAAGGAGAAAATACTCAGGTGTGTGTGTGTGTGTGTGTGTGTGTGAGCAGGGTTCGTGTCTGAGTGCGCGCGCAGCTCTCCGGTGGATTACTTCTGGTATCGAGAGACTCTGAACACGACGCCGGTGATCGGGGAGTCTGGAGGTCTGCAGTGGTGGATCGTGCTGTGCTTGTTCTGCGCCTGGACTCTGCTCTGGGTCTGCTGTCTGAGAGGCATCGAGACCACCGGGAAGGTGCAAGCTGCGCGTTAGTTAGCACAGGTTTTGTGTTTCTTTTCGGATCTGATTGATCATAGGCCTCAGAACAGTGATCTGAACTTAAAGTTTTCTTGATAATATAGCGTAACGAGATTTACAAGCAATTTAAAAGAACACAAAATTCGGTGAAGGATTTCCAGCACGGCAGAAGTGTTGTAATAAATATCGCAAACTTTTTTTTTTGTCTTTTGCAGAGAATATAAGATTTGGAATTACATCATAATCGATCTATTATCAACAATCAGTATTTATCTTATAATTTCGACTTAGTATGTAATAATTATGTCATAATTTCAAATGATGACTTATGGCAGTTATGACTGTCATAATTTACTTTTACGTCATAATTTCGACTTAGTACGTCAGTTATGAATTTGAATGTCACACTGTAGTTTCAACTTTTGTCAATTTTGACTTCGTATAATTTTGACTTTATGCTATAATTATGACTTAAATGATATCCTAATTATGACGTTAAATATCAATTTTGATTTTGAATGTCAGAATTAAGACTTAATATGTGATAATTGACAGTCATAATTTAACTTTAAATGTCATAATTATAACTTTATGTAATAATTGACTTATGTGTCAATTTCGGGGTTTTTTTTGTTGTCATACTATCAACTTTTAATGCCATAACTATGACTTTGTATGTCAATTAATATTTACCAAAGCATGATTTTTTTTTTCTTCCAATTTTGCCCTGCATATTTTATGGTTAAAGACAGCTGCACAGACCCAAAATAATAATTTAAAAAGGTATTTTGTTATAAAAGTGTGTCGACTGCTGTCTCAGGGTATTTACATTTATGCATTTGACAGGCTTTTTTTTCCCACCAAAGAAATATATACACTGCATCAAAGGCATAAACATAAACACCTCTACTGTTTTAATAAAGCACAAAATAAAATAAATAATAAAAATTGTACATACTGTTTCTAATATTAACATACTTTTTTAAAAAGAGTTGTTGTTAAACAATTAAAAAAATATGTTTACTTTTTTGCAATGTGTGAGAAGTATTAATGTTAAAGGTTTACTGTATTTACCACAGAACTGTATTCTGAACTCTATCAATACATCATAAATAAATAATTAATTAATACATCACACCCAAAATTGTAACACAACAAATATCAAGGACCAGTCCACACGTTTAGTTCTGCATGTGGATCGCTGGGTTAAAGCCCTCCAACACACGCTGTCAATCAATGACGTCATGTGTCAACCAGAGTCATAAGGAAGACCGTTATTTATTAGAGGACCAATTTATTAGCAACACAACAATAACCTCCTAAATAAATGCGAACATTAACCCCGGTTTACGATGAGAAATCTCGAAACCTGCTTACCGCAAATCAGTTACTAACCCTGAGGAGAATGAGCAGCGTGACACGTGAAAGTAGATAACCCGAGGTCAGCCAGGGACAGATGTGGGTGTGGATGTCCTGGTTAAGCATTATCCAGCGCGCACACACACACACACACACACTACAAGAAAACCTCATTAAACTGATAATCGGAGGAAACTGGTACAATCGCTGCACATGTTTTGCACTGTTATAAAAAGAGCACAAAGGGCAGCTTTAAAGATACCAACACCACTGATGGCTGTAATCGCATCATTGATAACACACACTTTTCTGGAGTTTTGGTTCCTTGCCACTGTCGCCTTGCTTTTGGCTTGCTTAGTTGGGGATATTTAATATTCAACAATATTATTGAACTGTGTTGTACTACTTTCATGTTATCACTGTGAAGCTGCTTTGATGCAATCTGTATTGTGAAAAGCGCTATATAAATAAATGTGACTTGACTTGACTTGACTTTTCTGCTAAAGCACAGGATGCGACTGTCACAACAGGAAGGGTAATTTCCCGGATGTATTTGACGGCAAAATAAAAACAAAATAAATATGAAGATAAGATTTGCATGAAGTGAGTACATAAAACCTTTCCTGTAGTCAATCATTGTATCCCTTAAAACTCATCTTTGATCACCAAAATTATATATTTAAAAGTTTTTACATGAAAAAATATTCTATATGCCTTAAAATAGCTTGAATGTAACTTGACACCTCATTTAGTATGCGCAGTTCTATGAATATGCAAATGAGCCCCGCCTCCACTCACTCACTCAGCTCAGAGATCCACTGGTTGACGATCACACGTTGGTCTGATTGGTTACAAGGTCGTTTGTGACGTCAGAAACACCAGCGATTTCACACCGTGTTTTTGAGACTGTCTTTGGTTCACTGCAGTTTTAAGCAGGAAATACTCAGCAATGCTGTCGACTTATGAACTTACACATGGTGTGTCTTAAAGCGTATTAAAAACACCACATAGACACATAAACAACATTAAACGCTGGATTTTCACCACAGGGGGGACAAGATTTTTTGCATTGCGAGATTATTTTCATGATACTGAAGTACATTCACAACCAAAATAATGACTATTGTTTAGAAAAATTGCGGTCAAAAAAGCATTTTTCATTAAATGCTCAATTTTTTATTATTATTACTGCATGAAATTTTAACAACAAATTCCATGAGTACTTTTTTTCTCTCTTTTAAAAAAAAATTAAAGCATAAACGTATTTAAATGAGAAATGTGCTTCGTGTTCACGTCATTTTGATTAATGTCAATTGCATTGGACTAAAACTTACTGACTTTGTAACAACTTCCCAAAAATGTTGGGATCATTTTTTGGTACTTTTTAAGTGTTTTTTTTCCTCCCCCTTGTTACACTCGTGGCGTTACGGGTCAAAAATGACCCGCCAACAAAAATCATGCTTAAAAATCTCTCGTTACGCTATGTTATCAGCAAATATTGAATTAAATCTTTTCATCAGCTTGTTTTCTTTCAGTTAGCACAGGTTTTGTGTTTCTTTTCGGATCTGATTGATCATAGGCCTCAGAACAGTGATCTGAACTTAAAGTTTTCTTGATAATATAGCGTAACGAGATTTACAAGCAATTTAAAAGAACACAAAATTCGGTGAAGGATTTCCAGCACGGCAGAAGTGTTGTAATAAATATCGCAGATGTTATTTCCAGGTTTTCCTGTTTGCGGCCCTGTGTTCAGACACTGATCGTCTCTGTCTCCTCAGGCTGTGTACGTGACGTCTACGCTACCGTACCTGGTGCTGACTATCTTCCTCATCAGAGGCCTGACTCTTAAAGGCTCCGTGAGCGGCATCAAGTTCCTCTTCACTCCAGACGTGAGTTTGACACTTCACTTTACGCTTGGGTTTCATGGAAAACTGCAGCTCAGACATCCTTTAGTGAAGGAAGAACGTCATGCAGATGATATCGTTTCGTCATCGACAACTAAATCATCATTTTACTTTACTTAACTTTACTTTTTGGTTGATGTTAACCAAGTCAGTTTAAGTATGTATCTATTGTAGGCAGGGGTTGTTATAGTTAAACTAAAACTTAAACCATGAAAAAGCACTTTCGTTACTTGAAATGAAATAACTGAACTGAAATAAAAATGAAAAATATAAACTTATTTTTGTCAGCTATAGCTGCCAATGTAACATTTCTCATTTTCACTTAGTTTAACTTGATGCTAAAATAACTAAAACAAATAAAAATAAAAAACTAGATTGAACTATTAAAAAAACTATAATTAATAAAAATGACAAAAACACACAAAAATTACTAAAACTCAAATAAAATTAGCATTTTTTTATAGAACTATTAAAAAACAATAACTAGCCTCCACATTCTGTCCTTTCTACTTTCACTGTTGAGGAGATGCTTTCTCTTATCTGGAAATCCGAGTTTGCTCACTCAGTTAAAGCCTGTCTACCATTAGTCTTCTTTAATTACTAAAATTGTTCATTCCTCACTCCATTCCTTCATCTCTTAAATCTGCGATTATTACTCCCATACTTAAGAAACCAGGGGCTGATCCATCCAATTTTGATAACTTTTGACCGATTTCTAATTTTTTTGGACCGATTTCCATGATCTCCTCTTGGACAATACATTGGCAGCTGACTCTGGGATTACTGGTCTTGTTTTAGATCATATATCTCTGGTCACACTCAGTTTAACTTGGAAATTTCCAACCAAAGTCATCTAAAGTAACCAGGGGTGTTCCTCAGGGTTCGGTCTTGGGCCCGCTTCTATTCATCATTTACTTTCCTTCTATCGAGCACATTTCTCCAGTTCTACAGAGATTGTCTTACTTATTGTTTATTAGTATTCACTTTGATTCAGCCTTCCTAATATTTTGTCAATATTTAACAATTTAATGCTGGTTAACATAAAGTTAAAGTTTAGGCGAACCCAGCTGTGACGGCAGGGCTGTGTGAATGATGTGTGTGTGAGTGATGTTTCCTCATGGATCGTGTCTCGCTCAGCTGGACGAGTTGCTGAATCCGGCGACGTGGCTGGACGCTGGAGCTCAGGTGTTTTACTCCTTCTCTCTGGCGTTTGGAGGACTCATCTCTTTCTCCAGCTACAACTCTGTGCAGTGAGTCTCGTCAGCTCTTTATTCTTCACAGCTGTAGAGTAAAGCAGTGAGTTTGTGTCGGTGTAAACTAAAGCTGCGTCCGAAATCGGACACTTCCCTACTATATAGTAGACGAACAACAGCATGTGACAAAAGCTGTATGTCCAAATTCACAGTACTGATAAAAGAGGCAAAAAAGTACCTGGATGACCTTCTACTTCCAGACAGATTCTGGTGTGCATATGCATTTTAGCAGCCCTGAAGTAATTACTCAAATTCGAAATAAGTACCTACTCAAGAGATTGGACGCAGGGTTGGAAACTAACACTCGCCAAATGCAGGTAAAACTCAACAGTGGCGGGAAATGCTGTCAAATAACGAGCCAATTTGGCGTGTTACTTTATTATGTTTACTCAGTTTGCTGGGAAGTTTGTGTAAGACAAATCTGTGCAGATTTAGCGCAAATTCTTGTGATTTATCATGATATTGCGCAGAATCTACTCACTTGAACACACACACGTCACTACATACACACATAACAGCATGCTTGTTCATTTGCATTGAAGCAAAAGCGAAGATTAAAAAGCATTCGGTGAACAGAAAACACATTATTTCCCCTCATCCTTTATTTTTGTGATGCTCTCTGTGCTGTATTGATCTGTCTAAAACACAGGTTTGGTGATGAGGATGAAAGAGGAAGAGGAGACACTGGATGACAGGATTTTGTTTGAATAAGAAATAAAAATTGTTGAAAATATTGTTGCGTATACCTAGTGATGTGTGTGTTCAAGTAATAAGCCAGATATGAGCAGATTCTGCTATATTCTTGCTATATATAATAAATAAAACTTCTAGTAGAAGTTGTGAATTTAGTAGGCTAGCCAAATTGTCCGGTGAGTGAAACAGTGATTGTGAAAGCCTGTTTGCTAACATGTTCTCCTGTGTGTGTGTCCAGTAATAACTGTGAGCAGGACGCCGTCATCATCTCTGTGATAAACGGCTTCACGTCGATCTACGCCGCCATCGTGATTTACTCTATCATCGGCTTCAGGGCCACCGAGAGGTTCGACGACTGTCTCAACGGGTAAATGTGCATCTCTGACAGCAGGAACACATCTCATATTACACACACAACTGATTTATGATCTGTAAAGGAATAGTTCACCAAAAAATTGGCGAGGTCCCCCCGGGAGGTTGTTGATTGTGGCCTGTGGGATGTTGGTCCACTCCTCTTCAATGGCTGTGCGAAGTTGCTGGATATTGGCAGGACCTGGAACACACTGCCGTATACGCCGATCCAGAGCATCCCGAACATGCTCAATGGGTGACATGTCGGGTGAGTGTGCTGGCCATGCAAGAACTGGGATGTTTTCAGCTTCCAGGAATTGTGTACAGATCCTCCAACATGGGGCTGTGCATTATCATGCTGCAACATGAGGTAATGGTCCTGGATGAATGGCACAACAATGGGCCTCAGGATCTCGTCACGGTATCTCTGTGCATTCAAAAAGCCATCAATAAAATGCACCTGTGTTCGTTGACCATAACAAACGCCTGCCCATACCATAACCCCCCCGCCACCATGGGCCACTCGATCCACAACGCTAACATCTGCAAACCGCTCACCCACACGACGCCATACACACTGTCTGCCATCTGCCCTGTACAGGGAAAACCGTGATTCATCCGTGAAGAGAACACCTCTCCAAAGTGCCATACGCCATCGAATGTGAGCATTTGCCCACTCAAGTCAGTTACAACGACGAACTGCAGTCAGGTGGAGACCCCGATGAGGACGACGAGCATGCAGATGAGCTTCCCTGAGACGGTTTCTGACAGTTTGTGGAGAAACTCTTTGGCTATGTTGCAGCCGCTGTACGGGTGGTTGGTCTCAGACGATCTTGTGTCCGGGTGGCTGGTCGCAGACGATCTTGTGTCCGGGTGGCTGGTCTCAGACGATCTTGTGTCCGGGTGGCTGGTCTCAGACGATCTTGTGTCTGGGTGGCTGTTCAGACGATCTTGTGTCCGGGTGGCTGTTCAGACGATCTTGTGTCCGGGTGGCTGGTCTCAGACGATCTTTTGTCCGGGTGGCTGGTCTCAGACGATCTTGTGTCCGGGTGGCTGGTCTCAGTCGATCTTGTGTCCGGGTGGCTGGTCTCAGACGATCTTGTGTCCGGGTGGCTGGTCTCAGACAATCTTGTGTCCGGGTGGCTGGTCTCAAGGTCGCAGACGATCTTGTGCGAAGTCTTGTGACGATCTTGTGTCCGGGTGGCTGGTCTCAGGCGATCTTGTGTCCGGGTGGCTGTTCTCAGACGATCTTGTGTCCGGGTGGCTGTTCAGACGATCTTGTGTCCGGGTGGCTGGTCTCAGACGATCTTGTGTCCGGGTGGCTGTTCTCAGACGATCTTGTGTCCGGGTGGCTGTTCTCAGACGATCTTGTGTCCGGGTGGCTGGTCTCAGACGATCTTGTGTCCGGGTGGCTGGTCTCAGACGATCTTGTGTCTGGGTGGCTGTTCAGACGATCTTGTGTCCGGGTGGCTGTTCAGACGATCTTGTGTCCGGGTGGCTGGTCTCAGACGATCTTTTGTCCGGGTGGCTGGTCTCAGACGATCTTGTGTCCGGGTGGCTGGTCTCAGTCGATCTTGTGTCCGGGTGGCTGGTCTCAGACAATCTTGTGTCCGGGTGGCTGGTCTCAGACAATCTTGTGGCCGGGTGGCTGGTCTCAGACGATCTTGTGTCCGGGTGGCTGGTCTCAGACGATCTTGTGTCCGGGTGGCTGGTCTCAGACGATCTTGTGTCCGGGTGGCTGGTCTCAAGGTCTCAGACGATCTTGTGTCCGGGTGACTGGTCTCAGACGATCTTGTATCTGGGTGGCTGGTCTCAAGGTCTCAGACGATCTTGTGTCCGGGTGGCTGGTCTCAGACGATCTTGTGTCCGGGTGGCTGGTCTCAGACGATCTTGTGTCCGGGTGGCTGGTCTCAGACGATCTTGTGTCCGGGTGACTGGTCTCAGACGATCTTGTATCTGGGTGGCTGGTCTCAAGGTCTCAGACGATCTTGTGTCCGGGTGGCTGGTCTCAGACGATCTTGTGTCCGGGTGGCTGGTCTCAGACGATCTTGTGTCCGGGTGGCTGGTCTCAGTCGATCTTGTGTCCGGGTGGCTGGTCTCAGACGATCTTGTGTCCGGGTGGCTGGTCTCAGACAATCTTGTGTCCGGGTGGCTGGTCTCAGACGATCTTGTGTCCGGGTGGCTGGTCTCAGACGATCTTGTGTCCGGGTGGCTGGTCTCAGACGATCTTGTGTCCGGGTGGCTGGTCTCAGACTGTCTTGTGTCCGGGTGGCTGGACTCAAACGATCTTGTGTCCGGGTGGCTGGTCTCAAGGTCTCAGACGATCTTGTGTCCGGGTGACTGGTCTCAGACGATCTTGTATCCGGGTGGCTGGTCTCAAGGTCTCAGACGATCTTGTGTCCGGGTGGCTGGTCTCAGACGATCTTGTGTCCGGGTGGCTGGTCTCAGACGATCTTGTGTCCGGGTGGCTGGTCTCAGACGATCTTGTGTCCGGGTGGCTGGTCTCAGACGATCTTGTGTCCGGGTGGCTGGTCTCAGACGATCTTGTGTCCGGGCGGCTGGTCTCAGACGATCTTGTGTCCGGGTGGCTGGTCTCAGACGATCTTGTGTCTGGGTGGCTGGTCTCAGACGATCTTGTGTCTGGGTGGCTGTTCAGATGATCTTGTGTCCGGGTGGCTGTTCAGACGATCTTGTGTCCGGGTGGCTGGTCTCAGACGATCTTTTGTCCGGGTGGCTGGTCTCAGACGATCTTGTGTCCGGGTGGCTGGTCTCAGTCGATCTTGTGTCCGGGTGGCTGGTCTCAGACGATCTTGTGTCCGGGTGGCTGGTCTCAGACAATCTTGTGTCCGGGTGGCTGGTCTCAAGGTCTCAGACGATCTTGTGTCCGGGTGGCTGGTCTCAGACGATCTTGTGTCCGGGTGGCTGGTCTCAGACTGTCTTGTGTCCGGGTGGCTGGTCTCAAACGATCTTGTGTCCGGGTGGCTGGTCTCAAGGTCTCAGACGATCTTGTGTTCGGGTGACTGGTCTCAGACGATCTTGTATCCGGGTGGCTGGTCTCAAGGTCTCAGACGATCTTGTGTCCGGGTGGCTGGTCTCAGACGATCTTGTGTCCGGGTGGCTGGTCTCAGACGATCTTGTGTCCGGGTGGCTGGTCTCAGACGATCTTGTGTCCGGGTGGCTGGTCTCAGACGATCTTGTGTCCGGGTGGCTGGTCTCAGTCGATCTTGTGTCCGGGTGGCTGGTCTCAGACGATCTTGTGTCCGGGTGGCTGGTCTCAGACAATCTTGTGTCCGGGTGGCTGGTCTCAGACGATCTTGTGTCCGGGTGGCTGGTCTCAAACGATCTTGTGTCCGGGCGGCTGGTATCAGACGATCTTGTGTCCGGGTGACTGGTCTCAGACGATCTTGTATGCGGGTGGCTGGTCTCAAGGTCTCAGACGATCTTGTGTCCGGGTGGCTGGTCTCAGACGATCTTGTGTCCGGGTGGCTGGTCTCAGACGATCTTGTGTCCGGGTGGCTGGTCTCAGTCGATCTTGTGTCCGGGTGGCTGGTCTCAGACGATCTTGTGTCCGGGTGGCTGGTCTCAGACAATCTTGTGTCCGGGTGGCTGGTCTCAGACGATCTTGTGTCCGGGTGGCTGGTCTCAGACGATCTTGTGTCCGGGTGGCTGGTCTCAGACGATCTTGTGTCCGGGTGGCTGGTCTCAGACAATCTTGTGTCCGGGTGGCTGGTCTCAGACGATCTTGTGTCCGGGTGGCTGGTCTCAGACGATCTTTTGTCCGGGTGACTGGTCTCAGACGATCTTATGTCCGGGTGGCTGGTCTCAGACGATCCTGGAAGTGAAGATGCTGGATGTGGAGGTCCTGGGCTGGTGTGGTTACACATGGTCTGCGGTTGTGAGGCTAGTTGGATGTACTGCAAAATTCTCTGAAACGCCTTTGGAGACGGCTTATGGTAGAGAAATGACCATTCAATTCACGGGCAACAGCTCTGCAGGACATTCCTGCAGTCAGCATGAATGAATGTGTTTGGGATGCTCTGGATCGGCGTATACAACAGCGTGTTCCAGGTCCTGCCAATATCCAGCAACTTCGCACAGCCATTGAAGAGGAGTGGACCAACATCCCACAGGCCACAATCAAGAACCTCTCGGGGGGACCCCTCGAGACCCCCATTTTAGAGTGGCCTTTTATTGTGGCCAGCCTAAGGCACACCTGTGCAATAATCCTGCTGTGTAATCAGCATCTTGATATGCCACACCTGTGAGATGGATGGATGATCTCGGCAAAGGAGAAGTGCCCTCTTACACAGATTTAGACAGATTTGTGAACAATATTTGAGAGAAATAGGCCTTTTGTGTACATAGAAAAAGTCTTAGAGTTCAGCTCATGAAAAATGGGGGCAAAAACAAAAGTGTTGCGTTTACAATTTTGTTCAGTGTATTAAAAATAAATAATATTTTTATTGTTTTCGAATTTTTCAAAGAGAATTTGCGCTTTTGTTTCCCGACAGTAACATCCTGGCTCTGATGAACACGTTTGATCTGCCAGAGGGAAACATCACAGAGAGCAACTATAACAGTGTTCTTCAGCATCTCAACAACACGACACCAGCCGTCATTCAGGAGCTCCAGCTCAAGACCTGCGACATGCAGACCTTCCTGAGTCAGGTGTGTGTGTGTGTGTGACGACACCAGCCGTCATTCAGGAGCTCCAGCTCAAGACCTGCGACATGCAGACCTTCCTAATAATCATAAATGTTTCTTGAGCATCAGATCATCATATTAGAGTGATTTCTGAAGGATCATGTGACACTGAAGACTGGAGTAATGATGCTGGAAATTCAGCTTTGATCACAGGAATAATTTACACTTTACTGTATATTCACATAGAAAACAGCTGATTTACAATCTAATTCTGTTTTTTGGTATTTTTAATCAAATAAATGCAGCCTTGGTGAGCAGAATGTTTTCTTTTAAAAACATTTAAAATCTTTCTTTTTTTTTGACTGGTAGTGTATATAATGTCTTTCAATAAGTCACGCCCTTCCAGCACTTCTTCATAAATATGGCTGTTTCAAGTGTTTTCCAGGACTTAAATGTAAAACGCTCTGCTTGAGCCGCGTGTACGAACCCTGTCCTGTGATCTCCGCAGGGCGTCGAGGGAACCGGCTTGGCCTTCATCGTGTTCACCGAGGCCATCACCAAGATGCCCGTCTCTCCGATCTGGTCCGTGCTGTTCTTCATCATGCTCTTCTGTCTGGGACTGTCCACCATGTTCGGGAGTGTGGAAGGCGTCGTCGCTCCGCTCCAGGACCTCAACATCCTCCCCAAGAAGTGGCCGAAGGAGGTTTACACAGGTACACATGCACTGAGTCGGCATGAAACAGAAGCTGCGCTTGTCATACAGTCAAACCTAAACATATTCAGACTCCTTCTACATCTCACACATCATCACGGTTTATTCGCTATAGTTTAGAAAATGGTGATAAATATGAGTAGAACTCAGTTCTCAGATCAGTCGATATTTGACTGGTTTTGTCCGTCCTTCTGTTAGACTCTAACACATGAATGCACGAACACATTATGTTGAATATCTGTCAGCTGTTAAATTTAACTACACAATTAGATAATACCAGTTTAGCTCAACCAGTGACCAAGCAATGCTTCATGTTGTTCAGTGTGTGTGTAAAAAGAGCATTAGCAATTACAGAAAACACACTGAAGAAAACATGATCAGCTCAAAGTGGAGGAATCATTTTTGGTCACTCGCAATGATAAAGTTATGCATTTCTGGGAAAGCATGAACTGGAAAAATGTGTTCCTTCAATGCAAATGCAAGTCGCTTTTGGATGAAAGCGTCTGTCAGATCTCAAACTGCCTCACAGTTTTCTGCTGCTTTTAAAGACTCAGTGCTGTACAATCTTTGACTCTACCTGTACTGAAATACTGGATTTTGTTGCCCCACTAAGGGAAAAACGCACTAAAACGCTATCTGAACCACGGTTAAATGACCAAACCCGCTCTCTCAGACGTGTCTGCAGAACGGCTAAGAGAAAGTGGAAAAAGGACAAACTTCAAGTGTCATTTCAAATTTTAAAGGATTCGTTACATAAATACCAGGCAGCGGTTAAATCCGCAAAAACACAATTTTTATCTCACCACCTGGTTGCTAATAATAATCAGAGGCCGCGGGTTCTTTTTAAAGTGTTTAACTCTCTTGTTAACCCTTGTGAAATAGATTGTGTTGTGCCATCCACTTTGTTGTGCGAAAATTTTCTGAAATACTTCATAGATAAAATTGCTGGCCTGAGTTTTTCACCACCTACATTTACTAGGGACCCCTCGGTTCCATCTTGCCACCAAGCTGTTTGAGCCAGTCACTTTACATGTTCTCTTTGACATAGTTAAGCAGCTCCGTCCTACAAACTGCCTGCTGGATAGTATCCCTGCCCGATTACTCAAGGGTGTTTTTAACATGGTTGGTTCCAGTATTTTAAGCGTGGTTAACTAGGGGTGTAACGGTACACAAAAATCACGGTTCGGTACGTACCTCGGTTTTAAAGTCACGGTTCGGTACGTTTTCGATACAGCAAAAAGTAAGAAATGCTAGAGAAATTTCCTATTTGTTAAAAGAAAAAATATTTTTTAAATAAGTGTGAGTTTTCCTACATCTTGAAACTTTCAGGTTTATAAATGGGGGTCATCTTTGAAGGATGAACAAATAATGTTTTGGTCATCACATTAAAAATAACATTTAAATATATGAAGAGTTTAGATGCAAAAGCCATTTGAAATTTTCTTAGAATGATCATTTTTATCAAGCTTGTATATTAAAGTTCAGTAATTTCACTTAAATGGCAATGAAGATTGCCTATTAATTGTCATTTGAGTGAAATTACTGAACTTAAATGTACAAGCTTCATAAAAATGATCATTCTAATTTCTAGAAGAAAATTTCAAATGGCATTTATAGAGGCTTTTGCATCTGAACTCTTCATATAGGCTATTTATTTATATAATATTTGAGTTTTGAAGTGCTGGAAAAAGATGTGTGAAGTACTTGAAAGCATTTCACTATTCCAGCCAAACTGGTTACAGTTAGTGTTACTATATTAAATCCATGGTGAATGTTGCTGGTCTGTGGACGTAAAGTATTACTAGTTCATTCACGGCACAATGTTTCTCCTGGTGTCCACGTCAGCGCTGTTTGATCTCGCAGCGATGTTATTACTTCAGTGGCGAACTCAAATGTTTTCTTTACTGGATCTCTTAGCGCTGTGTTGTAACGGTTGTAACATGAGTGTCGCTTGATCGAGATCGGCTCCCGCTGCACAGATGTTGCTGCTCTGCTCCGAACTGATAAACGATCCGTGAAGCACAATAGCGCAGTTTCGTTCCGGTTTCATTACGTTTGCCATTTGATGTTGCGCAACGTTGTGGTGATCGCGCCAGCGCAAATTTTTTCGGCAGGAAAAATGGTCCAAGGAATCGTTCGGTTTGTATGCGTACCGAACCGGAAGCCTCGAACCGTAACGGTTCAATACGAATACATGTACCGTTACACCCCTATGGTTAACTCATCTCTCATCTCAGGGTGTGTTCCCGTAGCTTTTAATCATGCAATTGTGCAACCCCTCTTAAAAAATAAAAATCTGGATTTTTCTCATTTTAGACCCATTTCTAAACTACCATTTTTATCTAAAGTCTTGCAGAAGGTGGTTTTTAATCATCTGCAATCTTTTCTAGATGCTTTTTGCATTAATGAAAAGTTCCAGTCTGGTTTTAAACCCCGCCACAGTACTGAAATCGCCCTTCTGAGAGTATACAACGCTCTTCTTTTAGCAGTTGACTCAGGAAAATCAGCTGTTTTAGTCCTTTTAGATTTGACTTCTGCCTTCGACACTGTAAACCACTCCATCCTTTTATCCCGACTCGAACAAAGTGTTGGCGTTGCGGGTATGGCCCTGAAATGGTTTAAACCATATTTGACAGATAGGAGTTTTGCTGTCCGCCTTGGGAATTGCTCTTCATCTACTGCACCTCTTTCTTGTGGGGTTCCCCAAGGTTCAATTCTGGGACCCATGCTCTTTTCCCTGTATATGCTGCCCTTAACATAATATTTCTTTCCACTGTTTTGCAGACGATGTACACATTTATTTGCCTGTAAAAAACATTGAGAAGAACAACATCCAACCTTTGTTAGACTGCTTGAGTGATCTCAAAATTTGGCTAGATCAGAACTTTCTATGTCTTAATGATAAAAAGACGGAGATTGTTGTGTTTGGTCGTGCGGGACATCTAAGTGAATGTGCAGATGCTCTTGGTACTCTATGTTCCCATATTCGACCTTTTACCAGGAATCTGGTTGTAATTTTTGACAGTGCTTTTAAATTTGACAAACAATCAGTTCAGTTGTTAAAACTAGCTTGAGACTTCTGGCGAAGGTCAAGCCATACATGCTACGTAAAGACTTTGAAAGAGTAATACATGCTTTTATTACGTCGCGATTAGACTACTGTAACTCTTTGTATGCCGGATTGGAGCACTCATCCCTTCGACGGCTACAGTTAGTGCAGAACGCAGCAGCTCGACTCTTAACCGGGACCAAAAACGTGAACATATTACTCCCGTATTGGCCTCATTACATTGGCTTCCTGTTTATTTTAGAATTAAATTTAAAATTGCATTAATTGTTTTTAAAATTCAAAGTGGGTTGTCGCCTTCATATTTAACAGAGCTTCTACATGTCCTGACACCTGTCAAAGCACTGAGGTCTTCCGACCAGATGCTCCTCGACGTGCCCAGAACAGAGGTGACAGAGCGTTTGCAGTGGCTGCTCCTAATATTTGGAATAGTCTGCCAATATATGTAGGAAAAGCGCAGACTATTGAAATATTCAAGTCCTTGCTTAAGACGCATTATTATGCTTTGGCTTTCAATTCTAGCTGAGCTCTGATATCTTGACCTGTGGGTTATTTCTGTTTGTACTTTGTGTGATATTGTCTGTTTAAACATTTGTTTTTGTTTCTTTGTTGGATCTTGTAAAGCACTTTGGTCAATTACGATTGTTTTTAAATGTGCTATATAAATAAAATTGAACTGAACTGAAGATATATAAACCTGAATGCAGGGGCGGAGCTAGACTCTCAGTACAGTGGGGGCGGAGCTTCATCATGGGGCCCTCTGCTACCAAGTCATTTTAAAATTAAAACCGTTAAAAAAAACCGTAAAATATCTGATGAATGCATATGTAATAATGTGTCACTTGTTGAGCCAAGTAAGCTTATATGTTAAATAAAACACAAAGGCTATCTCGTTCTTTTCAGAGAACAGTATGTTTTCTTTCGTTTTGAATTGTTCTGTAAAAGTACACATTTCGAGCTTTCTATAGATATATTTCTCAGGTGTGTGTGTGAGGCAAGTAGGCCTACCTAATACGCTGAGTTTCGGTTCATTAATGAGACGAGCTCCAGTTCACGCGCCGGCGCCTCCGTGTCGTGATTATCTATTGTCTGCTATATTTACTTCTTATTTATTAAATCCAGACAATTGGTTGATGAAACATTGATTAAAATTAAGATACAATTAATACAAAACGAAATTAGCCTTAATGAATGGCTTTGTACTTTATGTTTGATGTCTCTGGGAAAGTTTTAAAGCAGTCTTTCAGTGCTGCTTTCAGAGCGCTCACGCCCGTAACGGGGAACTGTCACGTAACATAGTTTTTCCCTCATAAATGCGAACACGAAAAATAAGACAAAATGAATATTTTGTTCTGTGGAGAGCCAGCCCTTCTTCATCCGGTGGGTAGTATTACTTTTTGTACTTTTGCCACCTAAAAGTTAAAGTTTTTTTTGTGTCACGTCCGTTACGGATGTGTATTACCCTCATATTAAATATAAAACGCATGTGTAGACTAGACTGATAAATGGTATGGATAAACAGAGGTTTCAATATATTGGTATTAAATGCATTTTCTGAGAATTTACATTTCAAGTTTTTTTTACCTCAAATGTCACGTCCATAACGATGGAATTGGCCAATTTTAAAGAAAATATCCTCAACTAGTTTTGTGGTGTAGGTCTAGGTATTTTATAATGTTAACTTCAAATAATACTAATAGTAATTTAAAGATGTGGTAGCATTGGATCTGGACGGGAAGGATAACAGTTGGAAGGGGTGTGTCGCTATTCTGCCTTCTCACACACATTTCGGTTTCATATCGCATATCAGCCATCATTTCTACTAAAGAAAATGACAAAAATAGTAACGCACAGTAACTTGGATAAGTAATTTTAATCTGATTACTGGTTTGGAAATAGTAACGCATTAAATTACTCGTTACTGAAAAAAGTTACCGGCATCACTGCTGGCGAGGGCCCCGTTCCTGTCCAGTGACGCAAGATCAGCGGCGTTTGAGGGGGCGGACGCACCCAAGCACCCACGCTATCTCCGCTACTGCCTGAATGTAATCGAGGGCTGCACGATTTGGTAAAAGGATCTCAAAAATGATATCTGGTGTCTGAATAATTTTTGTTTTAACTGTATATCTGAGTGAAACTGCTTCTGGAACAAAAACAAATGTGGGCGGGGCTTGATTTAGTCTGGGAATTGATTGGATGGTTGTGGTTTGCTATTGGCTGATCTCATGTGAGTGACAGGTTAAAGCCCCGCCCACATCATCGCAGAAGAGAGGGAGGGGAACATGAATTTAATGCTGTTCACCAATAAATCACCAGAATAAACTGCAATATTCCATAAATAATGTATTTCTGGAGACTTTGAACTAATTCTTGATCTTGGACGTGTTTTGATTGTGTTCAGGTCTGGTGTGTCTGGTGTCGTTCGGTCTTGCGATCATCTTCGCTCAGGGTTCTGGGGATTACTGGCTGGCTCTGTTCGACAGCTTTGCAGGATCGATTCCTCTGCTGATCATCGCCTTCTGTGAGATGATGGCCGTGTCCTACATCTATGGGATTGACCGGTGAGTGTGTGGCAGGCATGCATGGAGAGGTGAATGCTGGCGAGTGATGATTGGTTCCTGATGTTCTCCTCTCGCAGGTTCAATGACGACATCGAGTTCATGATCGGACACAAGCCCAACTTCTTCTGGCAGGCCACCTGGAGACTGATCAGTCCGCTCATAGTTCTGGTCATATTCCTGTTCTACTTGATCACGACTGTGAGCAAAGAGCTGACCTACATCGCCTGGGACCCGGAGTCGGTACGTGCATATCATAGATATACTCATATACACATGCACTTATGCACTCTGTGCCCTGAGAATGCCTTTAGATCAATCTAAGATCAATGTAAGCAAGGGTTGCCGTTATAACCAATTCATTTCTATGGTAAAACTAAAAGAAATAGATGAAAAATATCAATTTATGTTATTCATTTCTGGACAAACTCTTAGAAATCTCCAATAGTTTAGGCTATTTTTAAAAAAAAAAAAGAAAGAAAGATACTTTTAGGTATGTTTTCTAAATTAGTTTTCGGAAATTAATGAGCGACAGCTGATGAAAATGATCCAGCGTCAAAATCGGCCACATTTACATCACAAAATGTGTACAGTGTCTGATAAATACATGTGTAAAACATAACAAAAATATATATATGAGTAATACATATGAATAATAAATTAATTGCCAATAAATAAATAAATATGAGTAATACAAAAATATATGAGTAATATGAATAATAAATTAATCAATAAATGTAAATAAATTAGTAATAAATAAATGTATGATAAATATGAAGAAGTCATAAATAAATGTTATAAATATGAGTAATAAATAAACAAAAAATAAATATGAGTTATAAATATGAATAATATATATGAATAATACATAAATAAATGAGCAATAAAAAAAACAGTAATATATAAACTTGTAATACATAAATAGTGTAATAAATAAATATGAATAATAAATACATAAGTAATAAACATAAATGTTTAATACATAAATAGGAGTAACATATGAATAATTAATATAATGTAAATAAATGAGTATTTAATACTAATTTATTTACACATTATATTAATTAATCAGTTATTTATATGTATTACTCATATTTACATATTACACATTATTTGTTTATTACTCATGTATTTATTATTTATATTTAGTACACTTATTTATGCATTACAAGTTTATTTATTACTCTATGTATTACGCATTTGTTTATATATTATTTATTATTAATATGTATCTATTATCTCTTTATTATTTGTATTTATTTATTACACTTACGATACCTAAGTGTAATAAATAAAGATGACTAATAACTCAATCTGAGTAGTGAGTAACATCTGGATTTGTGTTTGTGTGTGTGTGTGTGTGTGTGTGTGCGTGTGCATGCGTGTGTATGTGCGTGTGCATATGCGTGTGTGTGTGTGTGTGTGTGTGTGTGTGTGTGTGTGTGCATATGCGTGTGTGTGTGTGTGTGTGTGTGTGTGTGCGTGCGTGTGTGTGCATGTGCATGTGCGTGTGCGTGTGTGTGCATGTGCGTGTGTGTGCATATGCGTGCGTGTGTGTGTGTGTGCATGTGCGTGCGTGTGCATATGCGTGTGTGCGCGTGTGTGTGCGTGTGTGTGTGTGTGTGTGTGTGCGTGTGTGTGTAACAGGACGACTTCCCTCTGCTGGCGACGCGCTCGTACCCGGACTGGATCTACGTGATCATCTTCATTCTGTCTGGCGTTCCAGCGCTGGTGATCCCGGCCGTGGCGCTCTACAAACTCATCAAGAGCCGGTGCTGCACGCCAGAGGACACACACACACACTCCGGCGAGCCGCTCTACTCCATCTCTGACAAAATACAGATGCCCGACGAGACCGACAAACACAGACGCTGAAGACACCACACACACGAGGGATTCAGTCTGACCTTTGACCTTTGATACCTACTCGAGTTTACACAAGGGATTTGCACTGACGAGACTGAGCCGTTTCAGTTTTCTGTTGTTTGTATGTATATACGCAAAGTGGAGTTCACATGTATCTATTTTATTGTTTTGAAGATACACACACCATTACTGACATCTACACAAAGAAAACGGCCGTTTACCCAGAAGTCTTTGCTGTGGCTTAATGCACATCCAACTGAAAGTCAGGAGCAAGTTTTTCCCCATCAATTTTTCATCCTATATAAGCTAATATTTAATCTAAGATCAATTATTGGGGGGATTGTGTGCTTTATCTCATATAATACTGTTGTTCATGTCAGTGTACAGTGACTGTAATATATAATATTTACATGCAAATGTAATCGTAAATGTATTATCAGTATTTTTATGATGTGCTCTTGTTGTTCTTAACAATGCCAGTTTAATAATAAACCAGATTTGATCATGTACATTGATTAGCATTTAAAGTTGCAGTAAAGATATTCGCTCTGACTGATAAGAAGAGTTCAACACATGGCAGATCATAACCTGTAATACTTATATAGAGTAAAGCCTGCATCAGTTACAATTATTAAAATATAATTCCGACATTAATATTTGGTCAAAAGAATCATTTGATTCAATTTTGTTTTCGATAATTTTCCTTAATCATGTGATCTGGAAGCAGTAAGACCTCGCTTCTCACCAATGGCTTCTCCATTTCGGCCTATTTTTGTTAAATGAATATATAATGACAATGTGTGATATGTCATGTGTTGTTGTTCATCTTTTTTAAGATCTGCAAACGACCAGATGATTATTTATTAGGTCCTGATACATAAAACCGTAGAATTCAATAGGGTTGTCCTTTCTTTTTCACACGACTGTATATAATAAATAAAGCTTATTTTATTTAATCTACCATTTCTCGTTTTCATTTGGTTAAACCTGAAGTACTAAAATAAAAACTATATAGACATTGAAATAAATAAAAATGACAAAGACAACAAAATTACTAAAACTTTAACATGAAAAGTGAAAATATAAGAATAAAATATTTAGTTGATATCTCAGGATCCACCATATAAACTTCAAAAATCACTTATTTCAGGAAAAAAACTAAAACCACCTTCACAATTAATCTTACACTTTGGATAATTACTTTGTAAATTATTTCAATGAGGTCAATCTTTAAAACACGTGATACGTGTAAAAATAAACAAATATGTAAAAATATATTTTTAAAAAAGAAGTAAAAAAGTCAAAAAAATATTATAAATTAGACTGAAATAACACTTGCTGGGAATGAATTAAACCCATTTACACGACTCATTTTCCGAGCGAACGACACTGACGAGCAGAAACAAACCAGCCGTGAGTGAACATTACACATTAACTAGACGAGTTTAGCTTTCATACAAGCCTTTATCTTGCTGACAAAACACGGAATAAAGGAGCGAGTATTAAAGGTCACTAATAACGAGTCGGCAGTCAGATCTGCTTCACCATCACACACACACTTACCTGAAGCTTCCCCTGAGCTCCGGTCCACTATCGCTTACCCTGCAGTGTTAAGATGCGTCTGAAGCTGAAGCTCCCGAACCCGGGTCTGGATGAGCGGATTCCCTCTCACGCCGAGCTGGAGAAGCTGGAGCTGGAGGAGGCTGGAGAACGCCCGCAGTGGGACAACAAGACCCAGTACATGCTGACCTGTGTGGGCTTCTGTGTGGGGCTGGGGAACGTCTGGAGGTTCCCGTACCTGTGCCAGAGCCACGGAGGAGGTGACACACACACACACACACACACACACACACACACACACACACACACACACACACACACACACACACATTCATCATGCACACTGGTGCTTCTTACCTGGAAACATAGAAAACTTACACATGATGGTGAGCTACACTTGTCTAGTCTAGTATCATCACATACAACAAGACGTACTGGAGAAGTTAGCCGTCACTCGGCGTGCTTTTATTTACCCATCGCATATAATCAGGAATCATTCGAAATCTTCAACGCAGGATGTGAATTTTGTTTTGAAATTGGAAATGGTAATTTAGAACCTTTTAGAAGCTCAATTTTTGTGATATCAACTTCAAATTGGGTACATAACTTGGTTAGACACATGGCTTTGGTTTTCTAGTAATTTGAGAGTCCAAATCATTTTGTCAAATTATTTTTTTTTAGATTAAAAAAATGTTTAGTTCAGTACATTTTTGTGATATCAACTTTAAATTTGCTATTAAATCAAAGCCATATATATGTCAGACCAAGTTTTGTACCAAATTTAAAGTTGATGATATCACAAAAATTGAGCTGTAAAGCAAATGTACTGAACAAAACGTTTTTTTTTATGCAATCCAAAGTATATTTTTACAAAATAATTTGGACAATAAATTTGCTATTCAATCAAAGCCATATGTCTGACAAAGTTTTGTACCAAATTTGGAGTCCAAATTATTTTGTAAAAATATACTTTGGATTGCATAAAAATGTTTTGTTCAGTACATTTGCTTTACAGCTCAATTTTTCTGATATCAACTTCAAATTTGGTACACAACTTGGTCTGACATATGGCTTTGGTTTTCTAGCAAATTTAGAGTCCAAATAATTTTGTAAAAATATACTTTGGATTAAAAAAATTAGTTCAGTACATTTGCTTTACAGTAAACAATTTTGCTTTACATCTTAATTTTTGAGATATAAACTTCAAATTTGGTACACAGCTTGGTTAGACACATGGCTTTGATTTTATGGCAAATTTAGAGTCCAAAATATTTTGTAAAATATATATTCTGAATAAAATAAAGTGTTTAGTTCAGTACATTTGCCTTACATAAACTTAAACTTCCATAACTTTCTAAACTTTTTTTTTAAGTGCTTTCACTTGCTTCTTTAAAAAGAGACCAACTTTAGCTCTGTATTCCAAAGCATTCATGAACTACATCCATTTAGGTTCGCATCTGGCAGTGACGGTTCACAGGTTAAACAGGGAACATCTACAAACATTTAATGAGATTTTAAAGGGAAAGAACAAGTGAGAAATTAACTTCAGGGGACACTTATATGCCGATGTGTCTTAAGAACAAGTTGTCTGAACAACTAGCTATTAGTCAATGGATAATAAATCTAACTTTTAATTCTCAAATTAGACAAATCTGCAATTTTATGTAAATGTATTACAAAACATTCAGTCTTTAAGGAAATAATTGCAAGACTAGTTTGAGCAGTTCATGCAACTGGCCACAGAAGAGTCATTTGTGTCAATGAGTAATAGAGTTAAAGCACAGTGCTTAAATATACACTCACCTAAAGGATTATTAGGGACACCATACTAATACTGTGTTTGACCCCCTTTCACCTTCAGAACTGCCTTAATTCTACGTGGCATTGATTCAACAAGGTACTGAAAGCATTCTTTAGAAATGTTGGCCCATATTGATAGGATAGCATCTTGCAGTTGATGGAGATTTGTGGGATGCACATCCAGGGCACGAAGCTCCCGTTCCACCACATCCCAAAGATGCTCTATTGGGTTGAGATCTGGTGACTGTGGGGGCCATTTTAGTACAGTGAACTCATTGTCATGTTCAAGAAACCAATTTGAAATGATTCGAGCTTTGTGACATGGTGCATTATCCTGTAGTAGTAGCCATCAGAGGATGGGTACATGGTGGCCATAAAGGGATGGACATGGTCAGAAACAATGCTCAGGTAGGCCGTGGCATTTAAACGATGCCCAATTGGCACTAAGGGGCCTAAAGTGTGCCAAGAAAACATCCCCCACACCATTACACCACCACCACCAGCCTGCACAGTGGTAACAAGGCATGATGGATCCATGTTCTCATTCTGTTTACGCCAAATTCTGACTCTACCATCTGAATGTCTCAACAGAAATCGAGACTCTTCAGACCAGGCAACATTTTTACAGTCTTCAACTGTCCAATTTTGGTGAGCTCTTGCAAATTGTAGCCTCTTTTTCCTATTTGTAGTGGAGATGAGTGGTACCCGGTGGGGTCTTCTGCTGTTGTAGCCCATCCGCCTCAAGGTTGTGCGTGTTGTGGCTTCACAAATGCTTTGCTGCATACCTCGGTTGTAACGAGTGGTTATTTCAGTCAAAGTTGCTCTTCTATCAGCTTGAATCAGTCGGCCCATTCTCCTCTGACCTCTGGCATCAACAAGGCATTTTCGCCCACAGGACTGGCGCATACTGGATGCTTTTCCCTTTTCACACCATTCTTTGTAAACCCTAGAAATGGTTGTGCGTGAAAATCCCAGTAACTGAGCAGATTGTGAAATACTCAGACCGGCCCGTCTGGCACCAACAACCATGCCACGCTCAAAATTGCTTAAATAACCTTTCTTTCCCATTCTGACATTCAGTTTGGAGTTCAGGAGATTGTCTTGACCAGGACCACACCCCTAAATGCATTGAAGCAACTGCCATGTGATTGGTTGATTAGATAATTGCATTAATGAGAAATTGAACAGGTGTTCCTCATAATCCTTTAGTGAGTGTAGTCATTCAATAACCTGAGAGGATCCACCAAATAAACTTCAAAAATCACTTATTTTTAGGAAAAAAATAAAACCACCTTCACAATTAATCTTACAATCTTAAATTTGAGGATTCTCCCTTTGGATAAAAGTATTTACCAAATGCATGAATGTAAATTCTTTCAGTAAGTTTAATCGCCTGATAAGTGTCAGTTTGACCCGCATATTCTATGGTTAAAATGTGCAGAACCGAAAAAAAAACTATTTTTTAAATGTATTTTGTCGTCAGTTTTCTCAACTACCCTCAGTATATTTACATTTACGTTTATGCAATTGGAAAACACTTTTATCCGAATGATGGCACACATTTCCGTGGTTAAAATGTATTTAAAAAAGTTAGTTACAGTGCTGTTTATAACATTTAGATTGTGAAGAAAGTTCCAAAAAAGTTCAGTTTTAAACAGATGTTCTTGTGTTTATTTTTGTTTGTAATGTGTGAGAAGTATTAATGTTTATATTGAATCCAATTAGGATCAATTTGACCTGCACCATAAAGATCGTAGCCAGAAATTACAAGTAATTCAAGGGTAAAAGCCTGTTCACTTCAAGAACGATAAATATAACGATTAAGACTTTTAAAAATTCATCTAAATATAAAAGAATAATCCACAACACACCTATAATGATAATGGCACAGAGAAACGATATCGTTGGAATCACTTTCAGAACTTTTTCCAGCTGATGAACGATGACAGCCAATCAGAATCCATCAGACTTTAACGAGCTCGAGCATTTAAAGCTTCAAAGTCTCGACACGATCCAGCCAAGGAATAAGAGTCTGATCTAGACAAACCAGCAGACATTTTATATATATATATATACACTACCGTTCAAAAGTTTGGGGTCGGTACGATTTTAAATACTTTTAAAAGAATTCTCTTCTGCTAACCATGGCTGCGTTTATTTGATTAAAAATACAACAAAAATCAGTTATAGTATTAAATATTATTCCAGTGTAAATCAGCTGTTTTCTGTGTGAATATATAGTAAAGTGTAATTTATTCCTGTGATCAAAGCTGAATTTTCAGCATCACCAGTGTCAGTGTCTTCAGTGTCACATGACCCTTCACAAATCAATATAATATGAGGATTTGATGCTCAAGAAACATTTATTATTATTATCAATGTTGAAACAGTTGTTGGTCTGTCAGTTGTACAGTTTTTTTGTTTTTGTTTTTAGGATTCTTTGATAAATAGGAAGTTCAAAAGACTTTTGTAACATTATAAATGTCTTTACTGTCACTTTCGATCAAATTAATTATTCCTTGATAAATAAAAGTATTGATTTCTTTCCTCCAAAAAATAAAAATAAAATTCTCACTGACCCCAAACTTTTGAACGGTAGTGTATATATATAAAAAAAACTTTTTAACCACAAATTCTCGTCCACTATATGGTGAAAAATCCTAGAATGTTTTCCTCAAAAACCTTAATTTCTTTTCGACTGAAGAAAGAAAAACATGAACATAATGGAATTATCAGGAAATTTTAATCGTGAAGTGAACTAGTCCTTTAATTGTCTGATTCGCAGGCTGGATTCATGTAACTTTTCCTTTGTTCCAGGAGCGTTCATGATCCCGTTCCTGATCCTGCTGGTCCTGGAGGGAGTCCCGCTCCTGCATCTGGAGTTTGCCATCGGACAGAGACTGAGGAAGGGCAGCGTCGGCGTCTGGAGATCCATCAACCCGGCTCTCACTGGCGTCGGTGAGTGTGAAAGCAAGACACTGTTAAAGGTGCAGTGTGTAAGTTTTAGCGGCATCTAGTGGCGAGGTTGCGAATTGCATCCAACAGAAGTTACGCTGGCCGACAGGAAGTGATGTCGTCACTGGAGTCGGTGAGTGTGAAGCGGATCGATGCCTGATCACTCCTGACGAGGAGTGTTTGCACTGTCGATGAGTTTCCAGTTTAGATCATATAGGCCTTTGCAGAGAATACAGTGTTTCTCAGATCTCATGCATCACATTGTGTGGTGTGTTTGGTGTGGTTCCTCAGGCATCGCCTCCATGCTGGCCTCCTTCATAGTGGGCATGTACTACAACACCATCATGGCCTGGGTCATGTGGTACTTCTTCAACTCCATGCAAGATCCCCTGCCGTGGAGTCACTGTCCCGTTAATGCCAACAGAACAGGTACTTTTCTGCTGGAAACAAAGTTGAAATTTCTCAATACCAGTTTTAATACATGCAGCAAAAAATATTGTTACTGGAGGGGGAGGGATTTGAGTAAGTTATGTTTGCATTAAGTGTATGTTATGTTCTTGTGTTAAATGTGTTGTAAAATTCAATAAAAATATGTCAGCAAAAAGAAATATATTGTTACAATATATTGTATAACAATTATTAAACAGTCATTAGGCTGCTGTCACTTTAAGAACTAATGCACGGATCCAATATACTGATACACATCCGACATTCCCAACCTTACCTTAAGGCCCTCGCACACTGAGTCCGAAATTTTCGTATGCGTTTTATCGTATTCGTGATTCGGTGGCTCTGAATGGTCAGAACATTATTCATACCGCTCGCTACGGATGCGAAAAACGCAGAAAATCGAACCCGATACAATTTTTTTTATGACGTATGAAAGTTTCAGAGACGGTGTGCAATCGTGATCGACATAACGTGAGGTCGTGTTTATTTTTTAACGTGCGAAAATTTCAGACGCGAATTTCGGCCTTAAGACATAAACCAAGAGTGTTTATGTGAACACTCATATTGAAATATTGTTTGTGCATTTGACCGTTTAGCTGCCGCGCACAGAAAGCTGCCGGTCAGTATGTGAATACTGAATATGAGTTTTCTTTTTTGAGTCTCTCTTTTTAACCCGCTCTTTATTACTCATTCGTCCATTTCTGTAAGCGGCACGGATATATTTGCATACCGTGAGTGATATATGAACGGCATAGAAAAAGTTCAATCGATTCACACTTTATATCATCGCCACGATATATATATCGTCGTATCATAAAATGACCACAACTAAAAAAAGAAAGCGAAATAGAAATAATAATAAGACCATCTCTGACATGTAGATGCTCCGGATGACCTGAACTTGAGCTCCTCCGTGTCTCGAGCGTTCCTAACCTGAGTGTGTGTGTGTGTGTGTGTGTGTGTGTGTGTGTGTGTGTGTGTGTGTGTGTGTGTGTGTGTGTGTGTGTCTCCCCCTGCAGGCCTGGAGTCGGAGTGCGCGCGCAGCTCTCCGGTGGATTACTTCTGGTACCGAGAGACTCTGAACAGCTCGGCTGCGATCGAGGACTCGGGCGGCCTGCAGTGGTGGCTGGTGCTGTGCTTGTTCTGCGCTTGGATCGTGTTATACATCTGCTGTATCAGAGGCATCGAGACCACAGGGAAGGTGAAGACAAACTGACCCGTTCAAAAGACACTTGATATTCAGTAATAGTCGTAACAGGGTGAAAGGCACTTCTGCATCCCTATATCTGCTATAACCACGCTATGTAAGATTGCCAGATCGGGTTGCGTTTCTGTAGTTCTAATGAGACATGAGAAAACTACAAATTTGACTTGCTTTACGTCAAGCGTTACAATAGTCATTATTTAGTTTTTCTTTGTTTCTGATGTCGCAATACATCATACTTTCATGAAATCATGCATCATAATCTAGCTTGTCTGTGGACGTCGTTCATTCCAAAGCCGGCGCTGGATAAACAGCGAGCGTGTGTGCGACGGTAGGCTGAATTATTTACGACAGCGGTAACGGACAATTCCACTTCCGACCTGTAGGGGGACCGAAGAGGAAAAGTTCTTTAGTGTTGCTTTAACTATCAGATGAGGACCAAACTTGAAATGAGTTGAGCTGAATACTGACTCTATTGACTTCTGTAGAGCTGCTTCCGATTTTGTTTTATAATAGACTTTGAAAGTTATTGAACTGAACTGAATCAACATTGAACTTTACTGAGTCGAATGACTCTAAAATCAAACGCAGCTCCACAAAACTCAAAAGAGTCATTAGAATGTAAAGTTCAATGTTGATTCAGTTCAGTTCAATAACTGTCAATGCTGCAAATTTCATCAGTTATTAAACTAATTTAATTTCAGCTACAAAGCAGACGACAATAGTGTCAGTTCAGATTCAATGTTGGTTCAGTTCAGTTCAACTAAGAAACTAATGAAACTAAATCAAAAGCAGCTCTACAGAACTCAATAGTCATTCGACTCAGTAAAGTTCAATGTTGATTCAGTTCAGTTCAATAACAGTCTAAAAGTCTTTTATGAAACTAAATCAAATGCAGTTCCACTGAACTCAATAGTTCCATAATAGACTTGACACTAATTGAATTGAACTGAATCAACATTGAATCTGAACTGACACTATCGTCGTCTGCTTTGTAGCTGAAATTAAATTCGTTCCATAACTGATGAAGTTTGCAGCATTGACAGTTATTGAACTGAGTCAACATTGAACTTTACTGAGTCGAATGACTCTATTGACTCCTGTAGAGCTGGTTTGGATTTAGTTTCATAATTGATGAACTGCAACATTGACACTGTTATTGAACTGAATTGAATCAACACTTAACTGAGCTGAATAACGGCACTGTTGTCTTCTGTAGAGTTGCTTACAGAAGAATTGAATGATGAATTTTGCAACATCAACTATTTTCTTGTTCATTACCGTGAATCTGCTTTGAAACGACTTATGAAGTGTTATAAAAACTGAAACATCTCGTCTACCGTATACTTCTCTCCTCAGGCTGTGTACGTGACGTCTACGCTACCGTACCTGGTGCTCACCATCTTCCTCATCAGAGCTCTGACCCTTAAAGGCTCCGTGAGCGGCATCAAGTTCCTCTTCACTCCAGACGTGCGTTCACCAGATAAACCTCATGCATGTATTAGAGGAGGAGTTCACTTTAACATGAAAATTAGCCCATGATTTACTCTCCCTCAAGCCATCCTAGGTGTACATGACAGACGAATACATGTCCTGGCTCTTCCAAGCTTTATAATGGCACTGGATTGCAACCAACAGATTGAAGCTCATAAAAGTGCATCCATCCATCATAAAAGTGCACATAAAAGTGCACAAAAAGCACTTTTATGATGGATGGATGCACTTTTATGATGGATAGATGCACTTTTATGATGGACGGATGCACTTTTATGATGGATAGATGCACTTTTATGATGGATAGATGCACTTTTATGATGGATAGATGCACTTTTATGATGGACAGATGCACTTTTATGATGGACAGATGCACTTTTATGATGGATAGATGCACTTTTATGATGGATAGATGCACTTTTATGATGGACAGATGCACTTTTATGATGGACAGATGCACTTTTATCATGGATAGATGCACTTTTATGATGGATAGATGCACTTTTATGATGGACAGATGCACTTTTATCATGGATAGATGCACTTTTATGATGGATAGATGCACTTTTATGATGCATTTTTATACTTTTATGATGGATAGATGCACTTTTATGATGGATAGATGCACTTTTATGATGCATTTTTATACTTTTATCATGGATAGATGCACTTTTATGAGCTTCAATATGTTGGTTGAAATCCACTGCCATTATAAAGCTTGGAAGAGCCAGGACATTTTTTAATATACACTACCGTTCAAAAGTTTGGGGTCAGTGAGAATTTAATTTTTATTTTTTGGAGGAAAGAAATCAATACTTTTATTTATCAAGGAATAATTAATTTGATCGAAAGTGACAGTAAAGACATTTATAATGTTACAAAAGATTCTAACCCTAACCCTATTCATCAAAGAATCCTAAAAAAAAAAAAAAACTGTACAACTGACAGACCAACAACTGTTTCAACATTGATAATAATAATAAATGTTTCTTGAGCATCAAATCCTCATATTATACTGATTTGTGAAGGATCATTTGACACTGAAGACCCTGACACTGGTGATGCTGAAAATTCAGCTTTGATCACAGGAATAAATTACACTTTACTATATATTCACACAGAAAACAGATGATTTACACTGGAATAATATTTAATACTATAACTGATTTTTGGTTAGCAGAAGAGAATTCTTTTAAAAGTATTTAAAATCGTACCGACCCCAAACTTTTGAACGGTAGTGTAACTCTGATTGTATTTGTCTGAGAGAAGAGTGTCATATACACCTAGGATGACTTGAGGGAGAGTAAATCATGGGCTAATTTTCATTTTAAAGTGAACTGCTCGTTTAACTCACTAACCTCCAGGAGATCTGATGGATCTGCTTACCTGTTTCCAGGTGAATGAGTTGATAAATCCCACGACGTGGCTGGACGCTGGAGCTCAGGTGTTGTTCTCCTTCTCTCTGGCGTTTGGAGGACTCATCTCCTTCTCCAGCTACAACTCTGTGCAGTGAGTCATCGCAAACACAAAACACATCTACATGAGGCAGATCCCTGGAGTTTAGGAAAGAGCTTTTAGAAATTATTCAGACACCAGATATCATTTTTTATATTTTTTTACTATTGTGTGCAGGACACTATAGTTCATTTCTGTAAGTGAGGAGAGCGAAATAAAGTAAACTGTGACATATTACACCCAAAGATTCTTCATACAGTGACTACCAGTCAAATTAATAATTGGGACAAAAAAATAATAAACATTATTTTGAGCTGATCATGTTTTGCTGAAGTGTGTTTTCTGTAATTGCTAATGCTCTTTTTACACACAGACTGAACAACATGAAGCATTGCTTGGTCACTGGTTGAGCTAAACTGGTATTATCTAATTGTGTAGTTAAATTTAACAGCTGACAGATATTCAACATAATTCATGTGTGAGAGTCTAACAGAAGGACGGACAAAACCAGTCAAATATCCACTGATCTGAGAACTCTGAGTTCTGCTTATGTTTATTACCATTTTCATTAATAAACTGTGATAATGTGAGAAATGTTGAAGGTGTCTGAATATATTTTGGTTTGACTGTATATTTCATCATATGCTCATATTATTCCATCAGTAATAACTGTGAGCAAGACGCCGTCACCATTTCCATCATCAACGGTCTCACTTCGGTTTACTCTGCAACCGTCATTTACTCCATCATCGGCTTCAGAGCCACGGAGAAATATGATGAATGTTTCGAGAGGTGTGTGCTTCACTAACCATATCTCATGCACTGTCGTTTAAAAGTTTGGGGTCAGTAAGAGTTAAAGTCCCCCTGTGGTCAATAACTGTATCCCTTAAAACTCATCTCTGATCACCAAAATTACATATTTAAAAGTTTTTTGCTAGAAAAAAAAATAGCTATACTGTAACTCGACTTCCGTGCCTCATTTAGTATACGCGGTTCTATGAATATGCAAATGAGCCCCGCCTCCACTCACTCACTCAGCTCAGAGATCCACTCGAATTTCTGAAGGATCATGTGACACTTAAGACTGGAGTAATGATGCTGAAAATTCAGCTTTATCACAGGAATAAATTACACTTTACTGTATATTCACATAGAAAACAGCTGATTTACATTAGAATAATATTTCACAATTTGAGCAGAAAATACTTTTTTTTATTTAAAAAACAAAAACTATCTTACCAACCCCAAACTTTTGAACCTTAAATGTAACCTTGTTGTGTTATATCTGACGTTGTGAGTGTTAAAGAACCGCACTTTCCCGACAGTAACATCCTGGCTCTGATGAACACGTTTGATCTGCCGGAGGGAAACATCACAGAGAGCAACTATAACAGTGTTCTTCAGCATCTCAACAACACGACACCAGCCGTCATTCAGGAGCTCCAGCTCAAGACCTGCGACATGCAGACCTTCCTGAGTCAGGTGTGTGTGTGTGTGTGTGACGACACCAGCCGTCATTCAGGAGCTCCAGCTCAAGACCTGCGACATGCAGACCTTCCTGAGTCAGGTGTGTGTGTGTGTGTGTGTGACGACACCAGCCGTCATTCAGGAGCTCCAGCTCAAGACCTGCGACATGCAGACCTTCCTGAGTCAGGTGTGTGTGTGTGTGTGTGTGACGACACCAGCCGTCATTCAGGAGCTCCAGCTCAAGACCTGCGACATGCAGACCTTCCTGAGTCAGGTGTGTGTGTGTGTGTGTGAGACGACACCAGCCGTCATTCAGGAGCTCCAGCTCAAGACCTGCGACATGCAGACCTTCCTGAGTCAGGTGTGTGTGTGTGTGTGTGTGTGTGTCGACTACAGCGTTTCTCTCAAAGATCTACAGGATCTCGTGTAAATCATGGTCTGAGAGCGAGTGTAAACCCACCAGGAATAATAGCGGACCGCATTAGTGTTTGTCAGTCATTAAAGGGACAGTTCACCCAAAAATATAAACTCTGTCAGTAATGACTCTCCCTCATGTTGTTCAACCCCGTAAGACTTTTGTTCATCTTCAGAACACAAATTAAGATATTTGTGATTAAATCTGAGAGCTGGATCACTCCTCCATAGGCTTCTAAGGGATCGAAACTGGCCGGCCCAGAAAAGTTATTAAAGACATTGTTAAAATAGTCCGAGTGACTACAGTGGCTCAACCTTAAGTTTATCAAGCGACGAGAATACTTTCTGTGCGCAAAAACAAACAAAAATAACGACTTTATTTCAACTATTCATTTCCTTCTCTGTGGGCCTCGAGTGAGTTAGCGTAGTGTAACTGCGCAGCGCTTCTGGGTTGTACGTCACACACAGGCTCACTATTGGCCGACGCTGGTCATGTGTGTGATGCGTGTGACGTACACCAGAAGCGCTGCGCTGTTACACTAGTGAACTCACTCGAGGCCCACAGAGAAGGAAATGAATAGTTGGAATAAAGTCGTTATTTTTGTTTGTTTTTGCGCACAAAAAGTATTCTCGTCGCTTGATAAACTTAAGGTTGAGCCACTGTAGTCACTCGGACTATTTTAACAATGTCTTTAATAACTTTTCGGGGAACAAGTTTCAATCCCTTAGAAGCCTATGGAGGAGTGATCCAGCTCTCAGATTTAATCACAAATATCTTAATTTGTGTCCCGAAGATGAATGAAGGTCTTACGGGGTTGAACAACATGAGGGAGAGTAATTACTGACAGAATTGACATTTTTGGGTGAACTATCCCTTTAAGTCAGGAGAGTCTTTCGGAAAAAAAAAATAAACACGAATTTCCTAAGTATACATGTAAATATTGTCTTTCAATTATTCAAGCACTTTTCAAGTCCTTCTTCATAAATATGTCTGTTTTCAAGTGTTTTCCAGGACTTAATGTAAAGAATACTGTAAGCACCGTGTACGAGTGTGTGTGTGTGTGTGTATGATCTGTCGCAGGGCGTCGAGGGAACCGGCTTGGCCTTCATCGTGTTCACCGAGGCCATCACCAAGATGCCCGTCTCTCCGATCTGGTCCGTGCTGTTCTTCATCATGCTCTTCTGTCTGGGACTGTCCACCATGTTTGGGAACATCGAGGGTGTCGTGGTGCCGCTCCAGGACCTCAACCTGCTCCCTAAGAAGTGGCCGAAAGAAGTGTTCACCGGTAAACACATCAGCCTCAAAGAGCTTTCAGCAACTGCGCTTCCATCACCCTTCAAACTGCGCTAATTGAAAATACGCCCCACATCATTTACCGCAGAAACGTTTTCACTCTCGCATGAGGAGGTTTTTCAGGCAATTTGAAAAAGGAATATTTCGCAAAACTGCAATGGAAACAGTTTTTGCGCATTTACAGTCACCTGACGTAGATGTTCGGACAGAAGACAGTGTTCTTTATTAAAATCCATAAAAGACAAAAATATTACAGGAATACCAGATTCTAAACCTCAAAGAAATGCCACATTATCAAGATCTTGAAGCAGATTTGAGGGAGAAACAACAGAAACTCCTCATATGAGCCGCTCACAGTATAAGGGACTTTCCTTGCCATTAAAGCTGTGATAAAATGCCCACGACTCTTTCCATTAATAATAATGTCTAGTGCGGTATACTCTAATAATAGTCCAGTGCGGTGACTGAGATACACAAACCTACAAACATCCACTGTCATGATTTCTGGAATGACTTATTGCGAGAGGAAAAAAATGACGTTTCAGTAATTTTGACCCGAAACACGTTTTTTTGTTTTGTTTTGTTTTTAATTGAGTGTTCATATGAGGGGTCCTAGACCCAGGACTGTTGTCGCACTTGAACCACGAATACACACACACAAACATTTTTTTAATGAATTTGCGGAGTTTAGTGGTTGAAATGTTAATCAGTAATAAATCTTACTTTCGGGTCAATCTGACTCCCTTAGGAATGACTGGAATGCGAGGAATGCAAACTAAAAATGGTACAACTTTACCAAAAAACGATTTTATAATGTCTACATGTGTATCTGAATGCATTCTGAAATAAACTGACTTTAGGACCCAGCGGAACAGCTCATTTGCTCCATCTAGAACTATAACGCCATCTAGAGTCATGAAATATCATGTAATGTAATCATGTAATGGTATATTATTGTTTTTTTACAAGGTCGAGGTCGGCAAAGAAACACAATGTAAGATATTTTGAGCTGAATTAAAAGGGTTATGCATGAAATTGTGAGTTATTTTGAATTTAAGTTGAAAGAATGTGCTTAAATTACTATTTATTTATTTTAAATAAAATATAAAATAACAAAAAATCTCCCCAAAAAAATTGCATGGAAAAATAGAACAAATATTTATCAAAATGAACTAAAATAAGCTTTCTGTACAAAAAAAAAGTATAATTTCAAGGCTTCGGGTCATAATGTGTTACAAAGTGCGAGGGAAGGATGAAGGTTAATGGAAACGCTGTCATATCGCATATAGTTTTTTATCGACATTTATAAAATATCACAAAAGTTTTGCGCAAATCTGTAATGTAAACGCGGCTAATGTCAAACTGAACACTGCAGGTAGTGTATATCACTCAACATGTGATGTTTTCCAGGACTGACGTGTGTGGTGTCGTTCGTGACGGCGCTGGTGTTCGTCCAGTCCTCGGGGAACTACTGGCTGGCTCTGTTCGACGGCTTCGCTGGCTCCATCCCTCTGCTGGTCATCGCCTTCTGCGAGATCATCGCTGTCGTTTACGTCTACGGCATCGACAGGTAAGAGTCAACGTCAAAACTACATGATCCTAGACTAGATGTTTCACCAGTTCACATTATTAAAAGCTTAAAATAAAGGTTCTATATTGGGATTAATCCTTCTATGAAGAACCTTGCCTCTTTCCGTTCTACAAAAGGTTCAATATACTGGAAAACTGTTATTTAGGTTTATTAAAATGTAAAGAAAAAAAAGGTTCTGTTCAGAAATGTTCTGTGCAGAACCAAAAATGGTTCTTCTATGTTGGCAGAAGCTATTTACACTAACTACACTGACTCCGCCCACCATTGTCTGATTGGACCAGACAAAATTACAAAAGAAACCTGTCTGATAACAGAACCAGTGGCACAAGCTTTGACACAACCGACAAAAAGTTCAAATCCGAACTAATTTTTCTCCCTTTTCCCATTGGATATGTATGGAAGCTGGTTTCCACCACAGAATAAAAAGTAAAAAAGGTAATTGCGACTTTTCCCCTCAGAATTGCAAGTTTATTTCTCGCAATTATGACTTTATAACACAATTGCGACTTTATATCACGCAATTAGGAGATATAAAGTCAAAATTGCGAGATGCAAATTATGTTGCAATTATATTTAAAAATGTTTTATTCTGTGGCGGAAACAATCTTCCATACGAGGAGGCGTTTATATTAAATAAAGCTTATTTTAAAATTAAGAAAATATCCGAAAAGTTGAAATAAACTGCCTGAAGGGGTATTTAATATTGGGAATAAGGGTTAAGAGGGTTAGTAATGTCATCCCAATAAGGCAGCATCCATTTATGATTTTAATAAATATTATCTTATACACTGAACATGTTGTTAGTATTGCATATTGTTTTATAATATACTACAATACACTAAGGTGCAAAAAGGATCTAACTACTTGGTGCAAATAAAAAATACATTTAGTTGCTATTTACTCTAATTTATACCTAATTTTATATCTATTTATAATTCATTTTATAATTTATTTAATAACTTTTTTACAGTGTAATCTATTCATTTAATACAATATTTGCAAGAATACAAATTGCATTTTTTGATAATCTTTTATCACCTTTTCTATTCATTACTTCAATGAGCTCATGGTCTCTACCTTTATTTATTACATTATTTAAATTAATACATTTCTAGCTAACTGTCTCTAGCTAACTGTGATTTTGTATGTACATTTCTGAAATGCATAACTTAAACAGTTTCCTCTGATAACAGATACTCTAAATTATAATGTGGACTCATGCATTTTCTGTAAAGCTGCTTTGAAACGATGTGTATTGTGAAAAGCGCCATACAAATAAATGTGAATGGAATTGAACCGTTTGACAGATGCACATAATAAAGAGCGTAAACTAGTTTCACCAATAGCACTGAGGAGAAAGATAACGCTGCTGTTCATCTCCAGGTTTAATAAAGACATCGAGTTCATGGTGGGACACAAGCCCAACCTCTTCTGGCAGGTGACGTGGCGGTTCCTCAGTCCCATCATCCTCCTGGTCATCCTGATCTTCTACTTCGTCACGACCGTCAGCAAACAGCTGACCTACAGCGTGTGGGACCCCGAATACGTACGTCACTGTCTTCAGGACAATCAAACACATTTATTACATCCAGAATACTTCTGATATATCACAGATGTTGAAGAAAATAACATGAAACGACAAATTTACACTACCACATCGAAATCTCACAAGTTTCTCTCAAAATGATTACTTTCTGTTCTCACGATTGCAAGTTTACATCTCGCAATTATATTGTTTTTTTGTTCCCACCACGGAATAAAAAAAAGATGAAGGTAATTGAGACCTTTTATCTTGCAATTCTGATTTTTTTTGCCCTGAAAATTTCAATCTTTTTTTATCTTTTCTTAGAAATGTGAGAAAGAAGTCAGAACTGTTATATATAAACAAAGTCTGAATTGTGAGATCAAAAGTTTCAATAAACTTTTTTCATTTGTGTTCCCCGTGGCGGATATAAGCTTTCACGTGAATTCACGTCACCAACTTGAAAATTAGCAAAATCTGTTCTGCAAACCCATTTTTTCCCGCCCTCATGCGAAACTCCCAATAATATGGAAGCTTGTTTCCACCACAAAATAAAACATTTTAAAAGATAATTGCGACTTTCTATCTCACAATTCTGACTTTGTTTCTCAGAATTGCACGATATAGTCAGAATTGCGAGAAATAAACTCGCAATTCTGACTTTTGTTTCTCGCAATTGAAACTTAAAATTTCGCAATTCTGACATCTTTTCTCAGAATTGTGAGATATAAACTTGCGATTAAGAGTTATAAAGTCAAATTCTGAGGAAAAAAAGACTGACAGAATAAAAAATAAAAAAGGTAATTGCGACTTTTTATCTCACAATTCTGGCTTGTTTCTCACAATTGCGAGTTTATATCTCACAATTCTGACTTTATAACATGCAATTCTGAGAGATGTAAACTTCCAATTGTGAGAAAATAAGTTCGAATTTTTAGATAAAAAGTCTCAATTACCTTTTCTATTTTTTTATTCTGTTCCATATGATCGCGTAAACTCCTGTTGGAATGTCTGGATTTCGCCCGCAGACTCGGTAAACGTAACCGTGCCTTTACTGTGAACGTTTCCTCGTTGCTCGTTATTCTAAATAAATAAAAAAACTGAAAACTTTCGCAACTATTTTTCTTTCACCATCAAATCAACTACCAATGGATAAAACCAATATCCTTGTTGACTATCAAAAAGAATTAAACGTACGTAATTGCGTGTTTTTTCCCCCCAGAATACCTCGCAATTCTGATTTTACAACTTGCAATTGAGAGTTTATTTTTACTTTTATATTTTATTTGCTTATATTTTAACTTAAAAAATATATATTTGAATAGCGAGATGTAAATTTGCAATTGCGAGTAAAAAAGTCAATTGCGAATTTATTTAGATTTTCTCACAATTCCAAGTTTTTTGCTTGCAATTCTGACTTTTTTCTAAGAATTTTGAGATATTAACTCACAATTGCGAGGAAAAAAGTCATTGTTAATTGCAATTACCTTTTTTACATTTTTTACTCCATGACGGAAACAAGCTTCCATATGTTTGACTCTTAAATACATCACATATTACAGAAGAAAAATGGGTTTTACACAATTTCACATCGACTTTAGATACTAGAACCACAGCTCTTCTCTCTCTCTCTCTCTGACTGAACGCAGGATAACTTCCCAACGCTGAAGGAGGTGGAGTACCCGAACTGGATCAGCGCCGTCATCTTCGTGCTGGCCGGGATCCCCAGTCTGAGCATCCCTGGAGTCGCCATCGTCCTGGTTCTGTGGAAGTGCTGCAAAAAGGGAAAGAGAACGAGCGAGAGCTTCGTTTCTGAAAAACAGGAAATAAGTGTCAACACAATAGCGTAG